TTCATGCATAATGATATATGAGTTCGTGGGTGATGGTTTTGGTTTCGCGGGCTACGCTTTTGGTTTCGTGGGTGATGGTATTAACTTCGTGGGTAGCGCTTTTTATTTCGTGCTCAGATTCATATGGTTTAGCGCTCGCGGATATTGGTTTCGTGGAGGATCATTTAATTTTCGCGCAGGATCATTTAATTTTCGCGGGTGGAGGGAAATGGTTCGTGGAGGAGTCTTTTAACAATGGGGGAGCCAATGAGCTGTACTCGACCTTTTTTGTATGAAAACCTCTCTTCGCCTTCCCCATTGTTAAAAGACTCCTCCACGAACCATTCCCCTCCACCCACGAAAATTAAATGATCCTGCGCGAAAATTAAATGATCCTCCACGAAACCAATATCCGCGAGCGCTAAACCATATGAATCTGAGCACGAAATAAAAAGCGCTACCCACGAAGTTAATACCATCACCCACGAAACCAAAAGCGTAGCCCGCGAAACCAAAACCATCACCCACGAACTCATATATCATTATGCATGAAAAAAACATCATCACCCACGAAACCATATACCTCAACCACGAAATCATTATCCTCATGTTCCTGTTCATCTTGGAAATCCTGTACAATGCATGCAGCATCCAAAGAATACAATACAATCCTTGTTCCCATCATCCACATCACATTATTGCTACATTTTGCAGACGTCCAACAATAAACTAAGGGCCTTTATTAATGCCTATACGACGTTTTCAATAAAAGATGGATAAAATACAAGGTCAAAAGCCTGATGCTGGTTGCTTATTGTAAGATAAGATATGGTGAAACGGCAGGACAATATATGAGAGTAATAAAAAGCTGTTAGCCAAGCTCAATTCGGCATGAATAACAACACAATAGGTGCTGCCAATCGTTGACCTTTCTCTCTTCAACAGTACCACTCTCCCATTCTCAATGGTTAACCCATTCAAGTACAACTATCTCCTGCCACCGATTGTCTTGCTTCAACCCACCATGTCAATACTACAAGTGCCTTGATTCGATAGCCTTTCACTCAATGGCAAGACCATGGCGCGTACGCTCTACTACGACACCCTCCTTTCTCGATAATACACACGTTCTTGCACACTCCCTTGCCACAACCAACCGCAGCAGCAGCCACCATTATCAAGGTCTTTACTCCATTGTATCATACGCCATTCTCTACTTATCACCTTTTTTTTACGTGGACAACAGACAACAGTATACAGCAACGGCTTTGTTTACGTGTAGCAACATGATATGGATATGGATATGGATATGGGTACACTGAATGGAAGAGTTTGGATACATACAAAGGGTCAAGCACGAGAGGTGTATAAGGACTCTTGGATCCGAGTTGTCTACTCGCATCTCGCATTTTGGCAAGAGACGATACAATGAGAGACCTCAAGATCTCGTTGCAGTTCTCCCAGATGGGATCACACTTAGCATGGCTAGTAGTTTTTTTTGACCACCACCATCACGTCCAGAGTCTGCCCTCTCCACTGCTCTCAGTAATGTAAACATGGACGAGTAATAAATACACTACCACATTGCCAAACTTTGACTCTTAAACCATGTACCACGTTGATTTAGAGTATGAGAGTAGGTCCTTTAAGCTTTCAACATCAAGTGGATTAAAGTATTTGTCACGTTGGATCGAAGGATATGTTTATGGGTTGAGAGGTGGTTGCATACGATCTCTTGTTAATTAGTACAAGAGGGCTCAAATCATAAGAGTGTATAACATATACAACATGGTAATTGGTTTATTATAAGCGATGATCGCTATTACTCTACATTTGTAATGGCAATGCGCCACTGACAACATAGGATGCATATTAATTTTCGTTGTGCGAGGAGGTCCATTGAAAGCTTCTTGGTCCTCCGCTCTACCACACACCCACACAACTCACCCAAGGTTTTTCAGCCATGAATTTCTACCACCATGCTGCCAGCATTCTCGACAAGTTGAATGAACGCAAGGGTACCATCAAGGGCCTCGTCATTGGCGATCCCAAAGTACGGGACAAGAAGAAAATGTATGCATTGGTGTGCGAGACGTTAAAGTGTAAGTCTTTATTCTTTGATTGCGACGATCGATCTTTTAGATCGCTGACCTAACGTCTGCTTAGACAAGGCTATCTTGAACGAGCTCATTGATACCACTGGGATTTGTCAAAAGGAGAAAAAGGTACTTCAAATTCGATCAAGGAGAAAGGTCTTTTCTTACAAGTATCTATGTACTAGCACCTATCATCTCGCTCCTTGACCCAAGTATTGATGCACGACATGCTATTTACCAAACGTGGTATCCCACTCTCTATCAACGTCCCGCATAAAAAAGCCATCCAAGGATATCAAACACGGCTCAAGGCTGAATTGGCAAAGATCAAGATCAAACGAGGAGCCAAGTCCAACAGTGATCTCATCAATGAAAAAGCAAAGAGTGCAGGTAGGTAGGAAGTGATTGGAATGGTCAAGAAGAGAGAAATTGATGGGATCTGTAGTGCTTATTCCTCGCTATGTGCGTGTCAATACGCATCGGATGACCATGGATGAATCCATTGAAGCTTTCAAGAAGGAAGGATATACATTCATGCAAGATGCACCAGAGGATTTGGGATCACTCGAGTATGTACAAGAGAGGGAAAAGGACCATCATCCCATACATTTGGCTGACAAATGGAATAGGTTAAAGACGTTTTGCCGAGATCACCATTTGGATGACCTTCTCGTTTTCACTCCCAAGACCGATTTACATAATCACCCCCTCTATGTATCAGGCCACATTATTTTGCAGGTAAGCCAATGCTTATGGAGGATTCACACATGCATGTGCTGACATGTGCTTGTATCAGGATAAGGCTTCTTGTTTCCCGGCTCATGTTTGTCGACCACCATTGAATGTTCATGCTATCGATGCTTGTGCTGCACCAGGCAACAAGACTTCGCATCTTTCAGCACTGATGAAGAATACCGGTCGTATTTGGGCATTTGATCTTGACGCACGAAGGCTCGAATTATTGAAGCGATTGACAGGCAAAGCAGGTTGCTCAAGTAAGTGAAAGGGCTTGGTACTTGGTTGATTAGATATATGTTAACCTGTATCCTATCAAGATATCAATCCAGTGCATGGCTCATTTCTCGATGTCAATCCCGATGACCCAGAATACAAGGAGGTGATTATACACAAAATGATTCCTTCGCACGCTGTTGCTAACTTTGTCATCATCGTAGGTTGAATATTTTCTCTTGGATCCCTCATGTTCAGGCTCAGGCATTATTAGCCGGTTAGACCATTTAGTGGATGATGAAGGTAATACAAAAGGAAAAGCAGAGGAGAAAAATTTGCCTGATTATGGAATCCGTAGATCAAGAAGAGGCGGAATCGGATGGTGTAAATGAACGGCTTGCCAAGTTGGCCGAGTTTCAAGTATCAGTGATACGTCATGCTTTCAGATGTAAGTTTGATCATGATCCGCTATGTATGTGTGTGTAGCATGTGAATCTCATTTCTATCATCCTATCTTTAGTCCCCAAGGCCAAACGTGTGGTGTATTCAACTTGTTCAATCCATCCACAAGAGAACGAACATGTGGTACGAGCCATCTTGGCAGATAATCCGGATTTTGAGCTTGCATCCCGAGACTCAGTATTACCGACTTGGGCGCGTCGTGGCGTACCAAAGGAATTCACTGACAGCAACAATAAGGATGTCGCTACGGGTAAATATCAACTCCTCGCCATTCATGATAGGAAGCTTATTAAAGTGGTATTCTAGTATTGGCAGACTCTGTGGTACGTTCGGATCCGTTACATGATATGACCAATGGTTTTTTCGTCGCTTGTTTTGTCCGCAAAGCGGCATCTGATAAGCCAGTCAAACGGAAGCTGCAAGAACAAGAGCATGTTGAACCCGAGGTAGAAGAGCAAAAGGTGGAACAACAAGAGGTGGAACAACCACAACAACCACAACCAAAGCAACAACAACCAGCCGCTAGTAATACATCCAATACCAACAAGAAGAAGAGAAAGAACAAAAAGAGGAAGACTGCAGTAACGGCTTGATTCTTGTAAATAGGCACTGTTATAGAATAACACAACAACACTACTATGAAGCATTTAGAGATTCCCTTAGCATCCGCATTAAGGCAATAAAAAAAGCATAATCACATCCTTCGTCATTGTATATTAAAATAGGAGAACACACATCGCATGAATAACAATGAAGATCGTCCACCTGAAACCTTTCAGATTCCTTCTTTTTCCATTTTCAGTGCTAGAGTCATGCAATTGGGAACGCGTCGTTGGTGAAAGATCTGATAAACCCGGTATCTACCCGCCTTTGCGAGAATCTCGGTTCCGTCATTTCTTATCATCATAGTGTAACTCTATCAGCATTCGATCAGACCACTCCTCCTCATGATGATCACGGTACTACTGTTAATAGTATACAACCAAGGTAATAAAACTTATCCGATGTCGCGGTGGAAAATCCGATGGCTATACTCGTGTACAATGTTTTTGGGGTCCAAGGTCATATAATAAAGAGCCAGGGTGGAACTTGCTCATTGTCACCTTGGATCATCCATGTGACTCGTTACTACTAAGACATGGTCATTAAGACCTCCTACAAGATGCACATTTGTGGTTTTTACGAAATCCAGGTTAGTGGATGATGCAAGGATAACTAATCACAGCCGCGGATAATTATTACGGGCCAAACACACGCACCCATACACGCTCTCCTCTCTCTGCTACCTGTGTTGTGGTACACGATCCGAGCAGCGTACTTCCGAAAGTTTGGCCATTTCCATCTTGGGGCAAATTCCAAGGGCGAAATTCACCATATTGGTCACTTTGCAGTGGATCTTGATCATGGGGGACTTGAGGATCCTTTTCATATATACATCCTATTCATAATCCAAATAGCATACAATCATCATTCAATGTATCCATAAACGTATTTTACTACCAACTTTTATTTCATCCAAAGGTCTATGTATCCTACGTATTCAAGGTGGATGTAAGAATCTGATAAAAAGTAAGGATCTGATAATATGGTTTGTGAAACCCAGCCATCAAAAAAGATCGACCCAGGGAAAGCAGGAGCAGCTGCATCGAACAAAAAGATTTTACCATATATAGGGCCCTTGATTGTTCCTTTTTAAACACTTCTTGAGCTACTACTTTTTCTCTCCCACCTCCTCACTTTTACGGATCCAGTCAACAGCCTGAGCTTGTTGTCGATCATCATCATCACTATCATCACACCATGGGCCACGGAGACGGCAATAGTCCATTTCAAACATTGAACACGTCCAAGAATTTCCATCTTGTGGGCTATTCTTACGCATTTCTATGCTGGGGCGTGTTTGCCATTTATTGCATCATGTATCAAATTGATCGTTTCCTGCTGTATCGAGCAAGGCGTCAGCGTATTGCATCAGGAGGGAATATACAAGCGAAACCGTTTTCAACGTTTTCAATCTTTGCACCGTTGGCACCGATTGGCAACTATTGCATCAAGATTCCCTTTGTCACATCCTTGATACCTATCAAGCATTGCGTCGGTGTATTTGTGTTTATTGTCATCAACCTGATCTGGATGCTGTTTGCTCCTTTTGCCATCTCGGAGGGCCAAACATTTAGCGTACAATCCATTGGTCTTATGGATCGTCGTGCTGCTTACGTTGGCATGGTCAATTGGAGTATCGTCTTTGTCCTTGGCTCAAGAAACACCATCATCACTCGCATGTCTGGTATGACATTCGAAGGTCTTATTCCATTCCATCGATGGCTTGCACGTATTGGATTTGCTGAATTTGTACCTCACTTTGTATGGCGCATGTAAGTGAAATCAACATACATTAAATTTCTCCTCATTTATTCATTCTCATTGTCATCGATACAGTATCCATGGATACCAACATGAGTATATTGTCAAGGATGCATTGTTTAGAAACATGGAGCAAGGCACAGGCACCATCGCCATGATTGGTTTCCTTCTCTTATTTGTCACCTCTTTTGAATTCATTCGTCGCAATTACTTTGAGGTGTTTTATTACTCGCACATTGTGGGTATCATCATTGCTATCATTGCTTCTTGCTGGCATGAGGCAGGATGCTTTTATTACTTCATTCCAACTGTCCTCTTATGGTTCTTTGATCGGTGCTGGCGTTCATATCAATCATGGTTCACTCCTACCAAGCTTGTGCAAGTGGATCCTGTGGCTGGTAATCCTAGTACGGCTTCCAAAGCACCTGAAGGAATCACACGCGTCCTCTTTGAATACGAACGGCTCAAGCATTATCAACCTGGCCAATACTTTTTCCTTACCCTTGTCAACAAGACTCGCAATCGCTTTTGGAACTATGCCAATTGGCATCCAATGACCCTTTCGGAAGTGTTCCCTGCAAGAGACGATCCATTGACTACCAAGGACAATGGCGATGCCCAATTGAATGAAAAGATTGCTGTTGAGGATGCTGTTGCTGTTGGTGGCGGTGGTGACAAGAAGGCGCATGACGACGCTGGTAGCACTGGCAACAGCAGTGGTAGCGGTGGCAGCAGCTTTGTGAGCAATCTACGTCGACGCAACATGCATGAAGATATGGGCTCTTTCCACATGAAGGCATTGGGTGGTTACACGCGTGATTTGCTGCTTGAATCAGCTGGCAATGAGGAATTTGAATTTCGCATGGATGGTCCTTATGGTCCTCGACTCGAGTATCAAGATTACAAGGTCATGGCTTTGTTTGCTGCAGGTATCGGTGTCACCCCTGCATTGACACTCGTCAAGGATTGCGTTGAACGAAGAGCTGCTGGTGTACATACCGTCATCACTGAAAAGGTGCATCTCGTCTGGGCGTTGCGCACGATTGGTAAATACATGAAGAAGTAATAGGATCGATTTTTATCACGTGATGCTAATTGCATGGTATATGCTTAGATGAGTTGGATGCCTTTGCCGATCAAATCGTCTATTGGACTGAACAATGTCGACATGCTGCCGAGCCATTGGAATTGGATATTGATCTCTATTTGACACGCCCACCCGAAGACAAGAGTACGCATCATCATTGGCTTCAAGACCTTTCCGGTGTCCGTGTCACTTTTGGTTCTCGACCCGATATTCCTCTTTGCATCGAACACATCGCAGCCAATGCTAATGGTAGCAAGGTGTGGCTCCATACTTGTGGTTCGGATGATTTCATGCGTGACATTCTCAATGAAGGTATCAAGAGACAATGGTCAACCCATCGTGAAACCTTTGAGTTTTAGAAGCCTCCTCCCCGCCACCCATTCCCCTTTCATTATTCATGGGTCATCATTCATTGTATGTATATGATCTTTCAAAAGTAGTACAATATTATCGCATAGATTTACGTGTAAAATAAAGAAAAAAAGCAAATGTCTTTCCCTCATCCTAGCATGTAAATGAGTCATTGAAACAAAGTATCATGGTATTGGTTCTGTCTAATTGAGCCCCATGTGTCCTCGTTGATTGTTCTTGGGCCCTCTTTAATGTATGGAAGTCGGGGAATGTTCTATGCCGCTATTGGATTAAACAATGGACATGTGGTGGCGTGCACCAGCAGGTGGAGCAACGCGGTTTGACGCGCATCGCGTATATTAGTATGGAGCCTATTGTATTACCATCACAGCCAACGAGAGCTGGTTGTGTACGCTTTGATCGACAAAAGTGCCTGGGTTTGTTGAGAACGAGCGGTGAAATCATCAGTCAAGATCAAAAACTCCCCGCTCAATAGAAAGATCTGATAAATCAAAAAGATCTGATAACGCATTTGGCAGGCTGTGGCACTCTAGTATTTTGGGGGACCATAACCAAATTTGTACCCAAGATTAAGGTACAGACGCATTTCCAAGCTGGATGGCATACCTCTTTACATCACACTCCCCATCAGCTTGTCATTTTCTATGTCATGAGCAAGTTGTATCACGACACGTTGCGTATGATGACGAGGCATTATGGGTTGACCATCGAAGGTAAAAGCTGCTGGCGGAGGTGTGTAGTATCTGCATTTTGACATGCTGCTGTACTTTGCTTGACAGTCTCAAGTCCTTTTTTCCTCGGTAAATGTCGTCATATTATGTCTCAATCGGTATTGGTATAATCGCAAATGATGTTGAAAAACCTGTTGTTTGTCAAAAGAGCGCGCGTTCCTATCGTAACTCTTCTATGCAAAGGTACTTGTCATCATTGAAAGCATATCCTTATGGAAATGTGCATCCACTATTGACACCTACATGTGAATGTGGCAATGCTCATAAATACCACGCTATGTATTGGACGAGCAGCCACATATACCGATGGCATACCACGTGGCATCAACTCAAGTAGCTTGTGTACCGGGAAACGTTCCTATTGGGTTTTCATATATGTATATATATATATGTCTATACGATTCAGCAGAATTACGTGAGAGATTACTCATATGCTGGATCAATCATTATTTCACTTGTTCAATAGTGAACATCTTGGATGATAAAAAAGAGGATCGACTTTCAATAGGTCATTGTCATGTATTTCATCTTTACAACGCTGCCCAATTTAGTAGCATCAGGAATTGAAGAATGACATCTTTAACAAGTGGGCTTCATAGTTGAATGAATAAAAGGATCAAAGCTTTATTGTTCTATATGCATAGACGATCTAATGAGTAGAATAAAGAAGAGAGGACGCCTCCACACTCATTCTCAAACAATGGACCCCCCATTTCTCTGGCGGAAAAATATTTGTTGTTGGTTCATTGCCCTTGTGTGTGTACACCTTAGTTCCTAAAGTAGAAGCGGTTTTCCTCAGCAGCAGCCCATACTGGTTCTTCCTTCCTTCTCTCTCTCCCTTCTCTTTTTCTGCATGCCATTCCGGAATTCAGTCTCATGCCACCATTGATTCTACGAGTGAAAGGAGGCGAGGACAAGTTCTATTCGCCATTGGAGAACTTTCATTCAGAGGACGATGTCTTTTTGGCCTGGCGAGTCAGCAACAAAGTCAGGGATGTCCTTGAAAACGGATCGCGAATGGAAAACATGGCCTGGCGTCTTTGGTATCGTCACCAGCTGAAGAACAAAACTAAAGCCGAGGCAGCAGCAGCAGCAGCAGCAGCAGCGAAAGCGAAAGCGGATGCAGCAGCTATGAACTTTGTCAGCCTACAGCAACAGCAGCAGCAGCAGCACCAACAATACAGTAACAATCTCTTTCATGATCATCATTGGTTTCAACAGCAGCAGCAGCAGCAACAAAATAAGCCCAATGAGCACGTGAAACATGATCCAATGGATACGAGTGGCTATGGAGATCCATTTGGAATGAATCATTTTACAACAACTCAAGACTTTTCCCACTTGTTCAACTCGTTACAAGATCAAAGTTTCAAGGCTGGATTGCCACAGGATGGTACACCTTGGCCATTAGCAACAAGCGAATATGATTTACAACGAGACATCAATTTTCCCAATCCTGTTTCATCTCCAACGTCGTTTCAGCATAATCAAGATCATTTGGATAATGCATTAGCAAATCGTATGGCAGCTTTTTCTATGCAGAACAACATGTCAATGCCGCCAAGTCCAACGACACATATGACACCCATGTCCATGCATAATCGTCCTATCTTACATTCATCCTCCTCCGATTCAGCAAGTGCCGGCGGTAGTAATAATCCGACAGCAGCTTACATGTCAGTCGAACCAACATCGTCCTCCTCATCCAATAGTATCATGGGTGGTGGTAATGTGTTTGGTGGTCCTCAAGATCAACAACAACAACAACAACCTCACCGCCATCATCATCATCATCACAATCATCCTCCAAGAGGACGTGTACGACAACACATCACTTTGGAAATGGAACAAGATCCTGCTACACCATCATCTTCTATAGGCCATACTGATCCCAATCATCACATGTTCCATGCTGATTTGTAAGTATGCGGTCTTTTTATTTCATAACCACAATGCTAATGATCGAAATAGATTATCGCAAGGGAATGCTCCTGGAGACGTTTTACCAGTCCCCGAGATTTTGAATTTGTTGGAGCAAACAGGCATGTACGATGGTGACCCGGCAACCAATTTCCATAGCAACGAAGACAACGACAATGACGAGGATGACGATGACGACGAAGATGACGATACGACTGATGATTCCGACGATGATTCTTCGGATGAAGATGATACACCTATATGCACCAATTGTGGAGCAACATCTACACCTTTATGGCGAAGATCACCCGAAGATGAATTACTTTGCAATGCTTGTGGTCTTTAGTAGGTGTCTCAGATCATCGAATCAGCTGATATCTATATACTTATTTTCTCTTTTCTCTTATCCACCAGTCAAAAGCTGCACAATGCCCCACGACCCCAATCACTCAAGACGAATACGCGTAAAGAGACAAAGGACGATTCCAAGCTCAAATGTTCCAATTGTTCCACCACCAACACACCCCTTTGGAGACGTGATCATGAAGGTGCTCCCGTATGCAATGCATGTGGATTATAGTAAGTGTGCATGATTCGTATTCATTTCTTTGTGTATGTATACTTACAAATGCGGTTAGTCTGAAATTGCATCAAGAAAAACGACCCCTATCGATGAAGAGTGACACGATCAAGAAACGACAGCGATACGAAGGGCAAAAGGGGAAGAAGAAGAAGAAAAAGAAAAAAGACAAGTTGAAAAAGAAGAAAAAGAGACAAAAACGTGATATTCTTATGGAAGAGGCGAATCGAGGCAAGGTGGCCTATTCACCGACACCACCCGCTTCATCAATACCGGCTTCACCCCATTCTGGATTACAACAGCCATCCAGTATCATGACATCCACGACACAATTGATGCTCAACTTGCAGCAAGCGACCATGGCAACACAAAACGCCTCTTTTCCTCATCATTATCCACACCACGATCCATCCTCACCCTTCTACAACCAGCCTCCATTTACATTTTCACCGACGACGAACGGCGGTACACCCTCTTCTGATAACGGAGCAACCATGTGCGATGGTAGTTGTATAGCAGGTATGGGTGCTGCTGATTATTAAACAGTCTCTTTTATCCCCCCTTCTCTCGCACACATCCCATTTTACCTGCATTATATAGTCTTCTCTCTTTCCCCATCCTCCTCAATTGACAATCCTATGTCCTCCTTGTGTAATATAGCATCTCCTCTTCTTCTTTTTCATTTTGTTGTAGCTCATTAAAGATATAATGCTTTCTTACAATAATCATGGCTACTACTACTACTACTACTTTGGGCATTTGTATTGCACACTACTTGAACGAGTCTTCCACTGGTTCTAATTCAACTTTGTCATGGCCTTGGGATTGCTATTCACCGCCTATTCTCATGAGTCAATAATAATAGAGTCGTTTGTATTTTTCCTTGCATTGCATAGCTCACTCACACATCCATAGCTATTGGTCTGACAGTAAAGTTTGGTGTAAATGGAACCCTTCCGCGAAGCACGTAAAGGACATTGTGAAAAGCTGGGTAAGGAACAACTTCTGGGATCGCCAACCGAGTACTATTGCTCTCAACTGGTGCATTACTAAAGGTATACCATCCCATTGGCTGGTGCTCGTAGTACTGGAAAGCACGTGCGTCAAAATGAAGCTTCCTTGGGCTTCCTCTTATCCGATGATGAGATTAGTTAATTGGATCAATAAGCGTTTGTAGGCGAAAACAACAACCACTGAACCATGGTTAAATCAAGAAACGATGCAAGGATAATCACACCGCAACAATGAACCCATCAAGGAATAAGATTAGATAAATCACAAGGCAACAATGGGCACCAGCAATAAAAAGGAGTTAAATTGGAGTACCATCAATTCATTGAATCATATAGGCTCTTTGACTCTTCTTACCACAAGGAATTTGCAATCAAATAGAGGAAAGAGATGTATGAGACAACATGGCTTATTTACATGCAAGAAAAAGAGGTCGTGATTGATGTAAAATCAAGGATCAATGGCCATTTATTGAGGACAAAGAAAGAACAGTGCTAATTACTTGCTTTAGACGTCGATTGTTGCATAATAAACATGAATCACGTGCGTGTAAATATGCGAGCCTTCGGAAAGCTGGATTAGGTGGTGGTTGGCGGGTGTGTAATAAATTGACGCGATCGTGTCCGAGCGCGCTGTTCCGCACCTACTACTTTTGACATTATGCATACAACCATACAGGCTATCGATCAGCGCTCCATTCACAGGATCTGCTCTGGCCAAGTCATTTTGGATTTGTCAATGGCTGTCAAGGAGCTTGTCGAAAACAGCTTGGATGCTGGAGCTACCACCATAGGTAAATGCTGCTTCGAGCGAGGCACTACAGGCACCACAAGAGTGTCCATTAACGGGGTCAATGGGTGTAGACGTCAAGTTCAAGGATCAAGGACTGGAAGCCATTGAGGTGTCAGACAATGGGAGTGGTGTACACGAATCGAACTATGCATCGTTGGGTAATGGAAGGGGAACAATGGGGTGGGTTCATAGAGAGAGTCTTTTCACTAATAATGATCACGTGGACATGATAGCTCTCAAACATCATACATCCAAGCTGCAGAACTTTGAGGATCTCGCAAGCGTGAGCACCTTTGGTTTTCGTGGTGAAGCGTTGAGCTCATTGACAGCACTCGGTGAATTGGTTGTTACAACGGCTACAAAGGATCAAGCGCCTCGAGGAACAAGGCTTGAATATGATTCCAATGGCAAGCTCGTATCTCGTAGTGCGGTGGCCAGATCAGTATGTAAAGACGTTATATGTGTATGTATGCATGCAAGGCTTATTTAAGTATCTATTTTAGATGGGCACCACAATACAAATCAACAATCTTTTTCATTCGTTGCCTGTACGTCAACAGGAATTCAAGCGTAATATCAAGAGGGAATACGCCAAAGCATTGTCATTGTTGCAAGCCTATGCATTGATATCTCAAAACACGCGATTGACAGTAACGAATCAAGGATCACGAGGGTAAGTGATGGAACATCAATGTTGGAGAAGGATGGTGGAATTAACTTGAGGAAACAGTCAAGGCACCAAAGCACTCGCAACCAGTGGCAACAAGACGATCCGAGAGAATATTGTCAATGTCTTTGGTACCAAGATGGTGTCACAAGTGGTTCCTTTTTTTGTGGAGTTTACTGTGGAGGATGATCAGCCAGTCAAGATCCAAGGATTTATTTCAAAACCTGTTCCGGGAGCCGGGAGAAATACCGCTGATCGACAGTACATGTTTGTTAATGGTCGACCTTGTCATTTACCAAAGGTAAAAAGAAGAAGCGAGGAGGACAAAGGCGCTTATGAATAGAGTAGGGAGAACTCATTGATTGTTTAGATAGCCAAAGCTGTGAACGACGCTTACAAATCCATCGTGCCATCCCAAAGCCCCTTTTTACTCGCTGACATCAAGCTATCTCCATGTAAGTGGGAGTTGGTTTTATGGTATCGTGTATTGATTTATGCGCATTAGCCATATACGACGTCAATGTTACACCTGACAAACGCAGTCTTTACTTGCATGATGAGCGCCGGATCATAGATGAGCTTACGGTAAAGTATTCACTAGGCTATGCAAAGAGGGAGGGAATACTCAATAGTGGATATAGGAAGGGATCACACAAGAGCTAATGGCAACATCGACAGTGGAAATTCGTTCGCAGCAAGAGATTACAAGCAGCATCACTCGACGTGCAGGCTCCTTTTCGTCATCACAATCAAACACAGCCATTCAAGAAAAGCGTATCACATCACCACTCGAGGATACAATATCACGTCGTGTTGAAGAGACTGCTATATCACAAACATCATCGCCATCATCATCATCATCACCAGCAAATGATACCAGGGCACCTGACAATGATCAGTCTTCAAAGAATTCATGGTTGGCCAGGTTGCAAGATATGGCTGCTAGGAACCAGAAACGGACCACGGGTTCGAGAACCAAGAAGCGTCAATCCACCCTCCTTACACATATCACCACTGCCAAGCGACCGAGACTTGTTGAAGATGAAGAAGGGGATGAAGAAGAGGAAATGGATACGTCTGTACCTGGATCCACACCCAAATCGGCATTGTCGGAGAGATCAGCTAGGGATGATGAATCAATGGAAACGGATGAATTGGATGAGGATGATGAGGATGATTCAGAGATGGGACAACGTGATGAGCAGTCAGCTAATGGAGCCGAGGCGGAGGATCATCATCTTACCAGCAATATCACTACTACACCCACTAATGGTGCTTGGTGCACAGGTGATCTCGAGCGATCCATACCCATTCATGATGAAGACAAGTTTATGGAACGTTTGAAGAAAAAGTTCAGCGACGTTGGCATTTCAACAAGCAGCAATGTGAGCGGATATGACAGCGGCGATTCACAGCAAGTTTTTGTCAAAGCAGCCAATCTTGAGAATGAGGATGATACAGCAGCAGCCGATGCCTTGAGTCGTGTCCTTCACAAGAGTGATTTTGCCCGTATGAAAGTGCTCGGCCAATTCAATGATTCCTTTATCTTGGTGATGCTGGATGGCTATGACCTTTTTATTGTTGATCAGCATGCATCAGATGAAAAGTACAACTTTGAAGATCTTCAAGCAAACACACGCATCGAAAGTCAACGCCTTGTTGTGTAAGTAAACGGAGGATTTGGATACTTGATCATCATCACTCATGCTATTATGATTAGACCCCATATACCCGATCTTACAGTCGCTGAAGAGAGCGTAGCCATTGAAAACGCACATATTTTGAGGGCCAATTGCTTTGAATTCAGAGTGGATGAAGATGGTGCACCAGGAAAACGAATTCAAGTGATATCCCAACCCATGAGTGATTCCAAAGTATTCAGCTCTACAGGTATAATAGCATACATCCTTCGCTTGAAATCGTATTCTTATATCTTTTGCTTTTAGACTTTAGTGAGCTTATCCATTCTTTGACTGAACACCCTGGTCGCATGGTAAAATGTCGTGGCTTACGGAACGTGTATGCTTCACGAGCTTGCCGAAAATCAAAAATGTTTGGTGACCCTCTCAAGTATAAGGAAATGGTTCAGATCATTCAACACATGGGGGAATTGGATCATCCATGGGTGAGTAGTGACATAGCAGTATGAAGAAAGGATGCTTACTCATACTTTTGAATAGAATTGTCCACATGGTCGACCTACATTACGGCATTTACACCGTTTCAAGCGTCATCGACAAGATGCACCCCAACGACCCATCACTTTTAAAGGAAGCCTATTCACCCATTCCCAGTAATAGCCAACCCTATGTATGTACATCTTTTGTAAATATATTGTTGTTGCCATGGCAGAATCCCCGACGACGCCTTATCCAGTTAAAAGCAAATGACATCAATGCAAAGTGTCAACATCCGACGCGCTAAAAGCGGCGATTTTCATTTTTACTTGGGCAAAGCAAGACACGCACTGACACACACACACACGCACATACGCACCCGTACACGTCTCTTTCTCTTTTTCCACTCCCTACTCTCTTATTCCAAAAACGACACAACTCAATGCGTATATTTGCCATTCCCATCTTGCGTAATCGCTGGGCGTATTATTGTCACTCGACGGCCCCTACCACATCACAACTCACCAAAGTCGTCGACTGGTCCAGTAAAAAGTGGGAACAACTGGGAACGGCCGATCCAACCACTTGGAAACGTAAACTGTATGATCGTGGCAACCACTTCATGAACCAGCTCGATTACCAGGAATGGTTTCTCAAGAACGTACCCAACAAAGGCGAGATTCAGCATCCACCTGAAAAGGTATTATTATTACTATTACTTTGGCGTATGCGTGCGGCGTGTTTGTAGGATGGGATAAAAAGTAAACTGATTTGTATAGGCACATGTGCTTTATGTGTCATTATTGGATGGTCCAGCAGTTCAGCATCATTTGGAGCACTTGCTACAAGTCAAGGAGCCGTATCACAAAAAGTACATGTATTATTCGGCTTATTGGGTCCCCGTTGCATGTACATTTGCCATTGTTCCATTGATTCCCAATATACCACTTGCCTATAATTTATTTCGTTTGTACAGTCATTACACAGGTAAGCGGCGATGGTGGATGGATGGATATGAAGGAAAAGAGAGATACTGACAAAGGCACAAGCTTATAAGGGTGCGCAGCATTTGAGGTCGTTACCATTGGATTATGCAGAATCACCCGAACTGGATCGACTGCTCAATACTCATGAATTCTGTACAACCAACGAGATTCAATTACCATCCGAGATTGAAGACTCATTCAAGCAGAGTGCTAAACCCAATCTTCAACTCTTGTTGCAATGCGATATACCCGGTGTCATTGGTTTACAAGAAATTACCAATCTCTCTCACCACTTCGAATCGCCTGGGATGGAAGTAGAATTGAAAAGAGCTCGGTATCAAATGTTGGCAGATGTTGCTCGAGAACGATTTGCATCCTCCTCCTCCTCCTCCTCATAGATGACTAGATTAGAGTATCTTTTTCTATAATACAATGACGTGTTTCACTGGATATAAATTGATGGGGAAGGGTGGGGGGAATGGGATGGGGGTGGGTTGTAGACAAGGGTTTTTTTTCTTCTTTTATTGTGACAATGAATACAGCCACGCGCGTGAATTCTTCTTTTCCCTCACACCACACCCTGTCATCATTATGAGCAACACACAAGGCTTCTCTCATTTCGTATTGTGTGCAAGTACACCCGACAAATATGAAGAGACCATCACCTTTTATGAAGCCATTGGGTTTCAAAGAATGTTGGATCAATGCAAAACCAAAGAAGATAATCGACACAAGGTGTGGATGAAACTCAAGGCAGCTGCACAAGCACAAGCAGCTGATCTTGTGATCAAAATTACCCTTTCAGAAGGCAACACGTTTCTGGACCCACGACAATCCAATGGTGAAAGTGCAGTCGTCATTCTTGTCAAAGATATGGAGGTAAATGATAATAACAACCTTCCTTTTTTGAAACAAGGGAATTGATCTTTGTATTAGAAAACGCGAGCCAAGTTGGACATCATGAGCGTACAATGTCAAAGTCAACATGATCGGCTTTATTCATGTGATCCCTTGGGCACCCCTTTGATCTTCTACAACAAACCACATGGATTACTGAAGACTGACCCACGCGATGACATGTGTGATGAAATGCGCCATTTCGATCCTGGAAAGACACATCGACGTATTGCCATCTTGACTTCCGGTGGTGATGCACCTGGTATGAATCCTTGTGTACGTGCAGTGGTACGTTATGGTATCTCCATGGGTTGTGACATGTACGCTGTCTATGAAGGATATCAAGGTAAGGAAGATAAAATAGAACAAGGCTCATCTTTTTGTTATTCACGCGTTACAAATGATCCTAGGTTTGGTGGATGGTGGTGAAAGAATTCGTCGTATGGATTGGAAAAGTGTGCGCGGTTGGCTTCACGTGGTACGGTATATACAAAACAATGTTTACATTTTCATGCAAAATAGACTCATGGTTACACAAATAGGGTGGCACATTGATTGGTACAGCACGATGCAAAGATTTTCAACAACGTCAAGGTCGTCTTCGTGCAGTAGAAAACCTTGTTTCCAGAGGCATTGATTCGATTATCGTATGTGGTGGCGATGGCTCGTTAACCGGTGCCGATGTGTTTCGAGCTGAATGGCCAAGCTTGATCAAGGAATTGAAAGACAATGGCAAAATTACCAGTGAACTTGCTGAAAAGCACAAGCATTTGACCATTGTGGGATTGGTGGGATCGATTGATAATGACATGGCCCTTACGGATATTACCATTGGCGCTGTTACTTCATTACATCGTATTTGTGAATCCGTGGATGCTATCAACACCACAGCTTTATCCCATTCGCGTGCCTTTGTGGTTGAAGTAATGGGTCGTCATTGTGGTTGGCTTGCCTTGATGGCTGGTATTGCAACGGGTGCCGATTTCATCTTTATTCCTGAACGACCCCCTGATGATGACTGGCCAGAGCGTTTGTGTAAAGTGGCACGACGTCATCGTGATCTTGGTAAACGTAAAACCATTGTCATTGTGGCAGAGGGTGCCCTTGATACATCCTTGAATCCTATCAAGGCCGATCCGATCAAGAACATCCTAAGTGAGCGCCTTGGATTGGATACGCGTGTTACAACATTGGGCCATGTTCAACGTGGTGGATCCCCTTGTGCTGCTGATCGCATTCTTGCCACCGTGCAAGGTGTACAAGCTGTACGTGCTGTACTCGATAGCAACCCTGATACAGAATCACCCTTAATCGGCATGTCGAATAACAAGGTCACATGTACACCCTTGATGAAAGCAGTGGAATTGACACATGAAGTGGCCAAAGCGATTAGTGAGAAGAACTTTGCACGAGCCATGGAGTTACGTGACCCACAATTTTCTGAAGAATATGATGCATTCACAGCAAGTACCATTATGGATGACACGACGTCCCTTTTACTTCCCGAATATGCACGACTTCGTATTGCCATTTTGCATATTGGTGCGCCTGCTGGTGGTATGAATGCGGCGACACGTACTGCTGTACGCTATGCTTTGAATCGAGGCCATCATCCCATTGTCGTTTATAATGGCTTCACAGGCTTGGTGCGTGGTACCATGGAAGATGAAACATGGATTGGTGTAGATGGATGGACACCACGAGGTGGTTCAGAGCTTGGTACCAATCGCTATATTCCCGGCAAGGATGTGGATATGGGGATGATTGCATATCAAATTCAAAAGCATCAGATTCAAGGCATGATTGTAATCGGAGGCTTTGAAGCTTACAGTGCCCTTGTTGAACTTGAAAAGGAACGTGTACATTATCCATCCTTATGTATCCCCATTTGTCAATTACCTGCCACCATCTCCAACAATGTGCCTGGTACCGATTTTTCATTGGGTACAGACACCGCTTTGAACGCTATTATTTTTTCATGTGATGCTATTGCACAATCAGCAAGATCGTCAAGACGTCGTGTATTTGTGGTGGAAGTGCAAGGTGGTAAAACAGGCTACTTGGCTGTGGAGGCTGGTCTTGCATCAGGTGCCAATACAGTGTACATCCCCGAAGAGGGTATTTCGCTTGCTCGGCTGCAATCGGATGTGAAGCATCTTATGGCCTTGTATTTGGATGATGATCCAGATAAATCGGAAGGACGTATTATCTTGCGTACCGAAACGGCAAGTAACACTTACACCACCGAAGTCATTAGCAACATCCTCAAGGAAGAGGGACATCAATTCTTTGATTCACGTACAGCTATCCTTGGTCACATTCAACAAGGCGATACACCTTCTCCTTTGGATCGCATTCGTGCCACACGCCTTGCCATGCGTGCTATTGAATTCCTTGAAATCCACACGAATGGTGTATTGGAAACGTATCATAACCAAGGTAAACCACCACCTGTTGAACTTAATACCTGCCATGAATCGGTTGCTGTCATTGGTATCGCTGGCAACGGTGTGCGCTATAGCCCTGTACGCGACCTGCTGGTGGAAACGGATATCAAGAATCGTAAACCAAGAGGCGCATGGTGGTATGCAGATCGTGATCTCGTTGATTTACTTGCTGGTCGTGGTATGTTTACCCCTGAAGCACAAGCTCGTATCCATGAACATGAACAAGATGAAGAAGAAGAACGTAAAGCAGAACGAAGAAAATTTGAACGTCGTTACTCTTGAACCTTTTCATTTAATCAATAAACAAGCTTCTTTCAATGATGATCACTCATTTTCTCCATCCAAGATATATAGTTGCGTACGCTTTTTTCTTTTAATAGAGATGTGATGATAAAAGCAAGCTAACAAAGGTCTATTACTGGGGGTTGATGTTGCAAGTTAAGTTGCATAGGGAGGCTACAGGATCGAGCAAGTGACAAGAAAGCGGTAAAAGTTGTCAATTTGTAATTGTAGTCGATATCATGCAGCTCTTTGATTCCAATTCGGTATTGATTGGCTCCTTGGCTGCGACGGCGTCGACTTTTTCATTCTTTGTGGGATATCATCACATTAGCAAAGTCGTGCAATAAAAGCAACTAGTGTTTAGGTATTTACCTTTGGAGGTTTGGTGGGAAGGGGCAAGTTGTCTCTTCTTGGGTTCTTTTGCCTGATTCATAGACTAAAAATGATAATAGTATATGATGAATGACATTGTCTACTTCCAAAGCTATGTGACAGGCTTACCATCACCCTGCACGAAATGATCTGAACTATCATGCTCTTGATGTCATTGCTGATAGTCGTCGCGCTGTGGCCTGCCTTGCTGCTTTCCCCTTTGGCTCATCCAACATAGCCTTTATCTCCTTCTATAATAGTTGCATTGAAAGGACTTTAGTCGACAACAACCACCTGTAATGTGTTCTTCTGACATACTGAAAGTGCATTCCATTCCTTGAGATGCTTTTTTGTTATTCCTGAACTAGCTTCATTGGAATCCACGGCACATTCAAGGTCTTTCTTGATTGAATCCAGCAATTGCCTTGTCGATTTATGTGGGTACGCCTCTTGTCAGCGTTGTTCATCACTTCCTCCTTATAAGGCTGTGACTCAGCATCTGCATGAGTGAGCACAGCTTGCACAACGGAGGCACATTGTCAGGTGGCATTTACGTATCTTGCGCAACTCCATGCAGGCTGTGGCGTGTGTGCCACCTAATCCAGCTTTGCAGATGCATCTTGGGAGGTAGCTACATCAAAAGGGTAGATGAGTATATGCTTCATCCAGCAAAATGGACGGCTTTTACCTTAGTAAAGAGCCAAATATCATAATGACAACAATGACAATGAAAGTGGGATAACGATGAAAAGCTAAAGATCATTACAAAGATGAGTTCATGGATCGTTCACAAAGAGGACGTCCACCACCATGGTACTTACCAAGGGATTTTGAAGGTGCCAGTAATCAAAGAGTGATTGTATGATAGAAAAAAAGAGAAGATGTGTGGGAGTACATTGAAGGGCGACAACATCTTTTATGTATACGGTGGGGCGTGAGTATTTCTGTAATCATCACAAAAAGGAAAAAAAGGGTGATAAATGCTTGTTGGGACTGGCGGTAAGCTGATAGATGATGTTTTGACGATCGCAAAAGGAGGAAAGGAGGATGAAATGCTTGTCGACAATGATAAATTGTTGGGGCATCTTCACAAAGAGCCTTGGAGCGATTGCATGTCACATGACGCACACATCGGGAAGTGAGATAAACAAGGTTGTCAACATCGAACATCAAACAATGACATCCATCTGCTAACACAAACCAACACACGCTGTGCTTGAAGGTGCTTGTGTGAGTGTGCGTTTCGGATAGCTTTATACGGCTTCCATGATTGTCACTGATTCTCTAGCCTTAAACATTCATCCATCCACTACATAATGTGCGTATATTTTTTAATAATACACGTGAGGGGGAAAAAGAACACTATATAGATACAAAACGCTAATACACATCATAATCAAAAACTTCTAGACGAGTGACATCATCATCCCCTTTGACAGCTGCAATGCATCGTCGTTCGTCAAAAGCGACACGCCATACACCAGACACGTTATTGACAAGGTTGTGCATGAGCTTGCCAGTCTTGATATCCCACATTTTGATGCCGCCATCGGATCCAGAAATGACCTTGTGATTGTCGTGTTGGAAAGACGTGATGGCCCCTTCATGACCAAGAAGGATATGTTGACGATCACCGGTCTCTGGCGACCATACACGTAATGATTGATCGGCGGCAGCACTCACCAAATGACTCGAGGATAATCCCAACAATCCAACAAGCGCCGTGTGACCTGTATATACATCATTGATTCAATACATCATGTTGCCAAGTATACGTGTATGTATCTATACACACCTCCTAAGACATGTTCACATGCACCGGTTTCCATATTCCAGATACGCACATACGAATCCATGCTGCCACTGATACATCGGTTGCGTTTGGGATCAATGACCACTGAATACACCTTGCTCGTGTGACCCGATAGTTGATGCAAGCATCGTCCTTGTTCAAGATGCCATATTCGTACCGATCCATCATAACTTCCACTCACCAAAGTATTGCCATGAGCAGCAAGCGCTCGTACAGCATCACGATGACCCAATAATACATGCACGTGAATCGTTTTCTCTGATGAAGAAGATGAAGAAGATGATGATGTTGTTGTGGTTGTCATTGGCAAATCGGCTGTATCAGGTACAATCGCTGCTGCTGTTTCATCGTGTGGGATATGTCTGAACACTCGACTCATCGCTGATCCTCTTTTCTCCTTGATACGTGAACGACGAAGGCGATAAGGGTCATTGTTTGTGGTTGATGTTGTAGCATCCTCTTTGTGTTGTACACTGCTAATGGTGGTTGTAGTAGTGGTGATATCGGTTGATTGGGGAAGGTCCCATACACGGACGCTGTGATCTCTCGATCCGCTTACAATCAAAGGCTGTTGTGGCTCGTATCTTCCAGTGCTTGGATTCTTGATCGGCATCACAATCGTTAAACATCGCACCGTGCCCGAATGGCCGTGAAACACGTGACGACAAATACCCGTATCAATATCCCACACACGTATCGTACGATCGGTAGCACCCGTGACTAATGTGTTTCCCACATACTGCAACGCCCATACGCCACCTTCATGACCATAGAATGTGCGTACTAATCGACCTGTGCGGATGTCGTATAAATTGGCTGTTTGATCATCAGATGCGGTGATAATCTTGTCCTCGTCAAATTGTAAGCATGTGACAACATGGCTGGAATGACCCGCCAGTTGCATTCGATGAGCACGATTGTGTTGCCAATTCGACTGGATACGTAAATGGCGTTGATAGATCCGCTTGTAGCCATAAGCACCTCGATTCATCATTTCTTCATGTTGCTGCTCCACTTTTTCTTCTTGCGTGATCTGGTATCCAGCATCCTCTATCTTCAATCGCCATAATTCGGCATCCTCATCAATGATTTGTCGCCATTGTCGTGATACTGCTAAACAACGACATAGCACGGGTACATCCAAAAACGAGAGAATGCGACGTTGAAGGTGACTTGGTAAGCGGCCCACAATATCGGTGCGAAGCACGTCGTTGATGGCTGAATGAGCGAGTCGTAAGGTGGTCTTGTTGGAGCGGCGGAGTAAATGCAATAGTAGATATTGTCGCACATTGTCGTTTGGTAGTTGTGTATAGGTATCAAGGATGTCATTCGTACAAAGTGAAGTAGATGGGATCAATGCATTGTTGTCGTTGTTGTTGTTGGTATACGTGGTTGTTGTAGAATGAGTGTCAATGTTGTTGCCTTCACCATTGGGTATAGTTTCCTCCTCCTCCATATGGGTAGGAGAGGAATTGGAAGGTGTTGGCCATAAATCATCATCCGTAGCTAATGCAGAAACCGGTGATAAAGAAGGAGATGGTAATGCTGAATTTGGGCTATCCATCACCCCTAGGTTCTCCATTGTAGTAGCAGTTGTAGTGGCATCTCCTGGTGTTGTTGTATTGGATGTGGTGGCATATCCAGAGGATGATGAATGGTGATGATGATGATTGTTGTTGCCCACTGATGATGATGATGATGATGGTACAAATGATGCTGCTCCTGCTGCCATGTGCTGATCCTCTTGAACTTGATCCATGGGATTTATCTTGTGAGATGGCGTTGATGAGCTCACCGTTTCTGTTCGCTTGGAACTTCTTGCAACATTATCCCAATCCTCTTCACTCGAAAACCAGGAGACAAGTCGTTTCCGTGGCGACTGATTTGTCCTTCTTTGTGCTGATACTTGTACTGCCAGCTAAAAAGAAAAAAAATAGTACCGTCAAATCAACTGCTAAACGATAAGACCCATTCTCAAACAATCCCTCTCTCTTACCGAATCATCTGCCAAAACCGTTTCTTCAAAGACACCTTGAATTGCTTGACAAGTGAAAGGAATACGTTGTAGCCTTAATGGGGTAGGTGTACGTGCCAAGGGGTATATATTATCATCTCCGTTGGGTGCATTGAATATGAGTGGTAAACGCTGAATAGAAGGTCCTCGTCTGGTGGTAGGGGTAGGCAAGTCGCCAGGACTAGTGGTAGTGGTGGTGGTGGTGGTAATAGTAGTAGTAGTAGCAGTGGTAGGCTTGAACCTTGCCATCGCGTCAGGGTAAGGTATCACCTGGTCATCCTTGTCATCGCTACTACTACTACTACTATTCTGGTTGCGATGGCCACCATTGCTAGAGGTCGTTGCATGGTACTGATTGTTGTTGTTGAGCAACATGTCGGTGTCACCTCCATTGTTGTTGTTGTTGCTATTGCTGCTGCTGCTGCCAGATTCGTTGGCATTGTGATTGCCACCCATAGAAGTGGAAGCATGCTCGGGTATAGCGGATGGAGAAGGGAGTGGCGACGTCAACTGCATAGCTCCCAATGGGAATGGATGGCTTCCCATGTCGGTTGGTATGGACTTGCGGAGGGTAGTGGTGTTGGTGGTGGGGGAGGGAGGGGGAGAGTGAATGTGTGAAGGATGAGAAGGAACCTTGTCTATGATTTCCAGCCATTGGGCTTTTTTTATTACTCTTTTTGCCCTTGGTGTAAATACATCATTTATCCCCTGATTCATTTTACGACTTGTGCTCATTGTTGTACCCCATTCAACATGCTCATTAACGATATTCATTCATTGAACTAAGCCATCGTGATGGGATTAGACAATGGGCATATTCATGCAGATTCCCTAGCTCGGGATATCTGGTCTTTTAGTTCCGAATACCCATCACCCATTTATTTATGTCATGAGGTCTTTTATATACCACACACACACACACACACACACCCAACTTATCATGGAGTACTATCTATCACTGACGACAGCTCTACGTTCATCCACATAGTCATCATGACGAAAATGCTTGGCATCTTGGGTGCATAAATAAGCACGAACATGATAGCAGCTATGTAGCACTTACCTTTTCTTATCCAACTATCATGTCCAAGCAAATGTCTTCAGCGATATTGCTCTTTTATTGTCTTTTGAGATTGGTGTCAGGATTTTATGTGCCCTCTTCTTCTCGAGACTTGGTTGGTGATACTGCTCACTACCATCATCGTCATCATCATCATCGTCGCCATGATCTTACTACTTCAGACGATGATAGTACCGCAATCTTTGGCACTTGTAAGTTGACGCATATTAAAAGAAAGTACACTTGCATTCATGCTCCATCACTAGGGTATATGGTTGGTGCCTCACCCAATATGCAAAACATGATGGTCAACTCGAATCTATCAGCAATGCAAGGAATGGCCTGTGGATGCGCCTACATGGATCTTGCAGCTGATGAAGGAACAATGGATGCTGCCGCCAATGATCAATGCAACAATATGGTCGACGTCAAGACCTATTGTGATCTCACATCGAGTAATGGCAATCCATCTGCTACAGGTCAAATCGCCACCATCGGCTCTGCTATACCTGAGAACACTACCAATGCAACATCTTCGGGGCAGGAGATCACTTTGGAGTATACAATTGGTAATTCATCCATTCATCCACCACCTTATTTCATCACTTCTAACATGTGATTTAGATACATTGATTCTCTCACTGGGTAATTGGTCACAAGCACCAGCCATGAATCAAAGCATCCCGGTCAATTATACCATGGAAATCCACAGCAAGCTGCTTAATGCTTCCTCTTCGTGTGATGATAGCAATGGCGGCTCATCATGTGATGGGGGTCTTCTTTCTTGGACTGATCTTGGTAAAGCTTTATTCATGTTATCATCTTTTGGGTATCCTAGCTCATCTAATGCATCAAGTAGATTCTCAAAGGTATACTGCTCTTTACACCCACGAAGCCACAGTGAATCAATCCATGTTCGATGATCTTGTCAAGCAAGCGGGTGACCAAGGCAAGGATTTAGTCCACCTCAATACGACATGTGCCAGCAGCAATAGCACCATCCACAACATGTAATGATGATCCATCCAATGATTGCCCACACACACACACACACACACATAATGATCCCTCTTTTCCCTTTTCCCAAACTCCCCCTAGCTGTATGATCAAATAAAAATTACATTTGGCAACAAAAAGTCAATAATTAAAATACAAAGAAACGTGTATACAAGGAAGAAGGAATTACACACACGCGCACACAGATTACTATAAAGTCATGTAGGTTGTTGCTGATGATGATGATGATGTAGTAGTAGTTGTTGTAGTAGGATCACCACCTGGTAAAACATGGGGAGAACTGCTCTGCATTTCCGATGTCATGGTGGTGGTGGTGGCGGTAGGTTGCAAGGGTATTTCGGGTCGTTGTCGTGTTTGTAGCATGGCAAACAGGTCATCCAGTACCTGCCCACTATTGTTGATATTGTACTCTTGTATTAATGGATCGCCGCTCGGTGTTGTATTATTATTACTAGGGACTCCTCCACCTCCACCAGCAACAGCGAAATCATCTTGGAAATAAGAGTCGAATGCAAATTCCAAATCGAATTGATCAAATCCACTCCAAAGGTCTTGTTGTTCAGGTGGAATACCAGCAACGGCCATTTCGGGAGGAATGGCACCTTCTTGATGGTGGTGGTGTTGTTGTTGTTGAGCGGTAGGTGTCAATTGATCCGAACGTGAAGGAGATAATGAAGAAGGTTGTGGTGGTGGTAATGAAGACGTTGGTGGTTGTGATGGTGGCGAGGAGGACGAGGATGATGGCATTGTATGAGGAGGTCGTAATGGAATTTTTTGTTGAACAGGTCCTGTTGTATCTTCAGCAGCTGATGATACTGTCACTGTAGGTGGTGGTGGAGGTTGTTGTTGTTGTGAAGAAACAGCCAACATCTCATCTTGCTGTTGTTGCTGCTGTTGAATATCATTATTCGGTGGCGGTGGTTGTTGTGATGGTGATACCATTGACTGAGATTGTCGTTGTAAAGAAGGAGGAGGTGGAGGAGGAGATGGAGGAGATGCTGTTGTAGATATCGATGATGATGACAATGGCTGTTGTTCTTCAGGTTTTGATGATATCGGAGGAGGTGATACATGTAATGGATGTGGTGGATGTTGTTGTTGTGGTGGTGAAGAAGGCATTGCTTTATCGCTACCAGTACTTGCATTGCTGGATATGGGTGTTTGACCTGTTAACTCTGCTATTCGTCTTTCTAGAGCAGCCACTGTATTTCGAAGATGCCGATTTTCTCCCCGCAATTGCTCCATTTCCTCTGGCCAATTCTCCATCTCCTTTGCTCTCTTTTCCAGGTCTTTGATATACTTGTCTCTTCTTTCACGAAATGCACGTTGTGCTGCTCGATTCTGTGCTGCTCGTTTGGAGGGTATAACAACGCGTGAACGTTTCGATGCTGGTAGTGATGATGATGAAGACGATTGTAAAGAAAACATGGTTGATGATGATGATGATTGTATTGGATGATCGTAAGATGCCATCGTAGCTGCTGGTGGTCGTTGCATTGTTGTTGATGGTGGTGGTGGATGATGATGAGGAGGCGGATGTTCACGATGTGGTGGATGTGGTGGGGCTGACATGGCATTGATTCAGTTATCATCTATCACATGGGTCTTTTGTCATACTCACCTTGATTCATTTCCTGAACCCAACCTGTTGGTGGTGGACGTGTTGTTGGATGTGAAGGATCGACAGGGTTTGGAGGATGCCTGATATCTAGATATTGACCATGCATATAAAAACGTGAGTCTATGCAGGAGTATAATAACACCACTACTCTCTTTGGGAATGAATGCATACCATGCGTTGGCATATTGTTGTAATGAGGTGGTGGGCCAGGGTGATGGGCATGCTTTGCTTCATGCGGTAATGACGGCCGATGAGGTGGTTGTGGCGGTGGAGCTGACGAGTACATGTTGACAAAGAAAAGCTGGGGAAAGAAAACAAAGAGTGGGAAGAGGAAGAAAGAAAATGTGGAGTTGAGTGTGCTGTGTGTGTGAGAGTGAGATCCAGTTTTCGCTGACAGCCAAATGAGAAGCAGTAGCAGTAGCAGCAACAGCAGCAGCAGCAGTAATAGTTTAAGCAGCCAGCCTGATGCCCGGGAATGGACCATCGTTATTGACCATCAATCCATGAGAACCAAACACCTGATTGGTTGCCACACATTACCCAAAAGCCCGGGGGATAGGATCGTTTGATGTTATTCACCCCGCCGGCCCATGCAAGTAGAGATACACACAATCCATATATGGGTAATCAGCTTCTCGAGATCTTTATCGTATCTAAGCAATGGAAATCTCTCCCTCCTTCCCCAATCCACAATAAAGGCCCTTGATGTTAAAAGCAACAAGCTTAACCCATTTCCTCGGAACATCAGATGATGTAACATTGGCGTTGCACAAGACGGCTTACGTTAGCAACCTATCCATGACTCCGAAACAGCGCTATAGCTCCTTGAATAGAAAGGGTTATAAAATGCCCATCCATTATCTACTGCTTTTTCCCGTTCTTTCCTGCTTTCCACCATGTCTAACAACGCTCGTGTTCCCACTTACGATTCACTCGATAAGATCTATGCCACATCAGCTCTTGGCAAGCAAGGGTAAGTAGTCCTTCAAATGAACGCGCGTATAGATTTTATTTTGCATGAAATAGCTTATATCATTCCTTTCTCCAGTGTTCGTTACAACAACTTGATTCAAAAGTTCACCGAGATCTATGGTCGCAAACCTGACTTCATTGCACGTTCTCCCGGTCGCGTCAACCTCATTGGAGAGCACATTGACTACTGCGGGTTTGGTGTGATGCCCATGGCCATTGAGCGTGATTGTATTATTGCTGTTGCTACTACGGACCAAGATACCAAGGTGCGCATCGCCAATGTCAACCCCAAGTACGAACCTCGCGAGTTTGATTTCGAAGGCAAGGAGAAGATTGTTACTATTGACGACACCAAGCATGAATGGACCAACTACTTCAAGTGTGGCTACAAGGTAAATGGGGGTGGGATGATGAATGATAGGAGATGTATGTGCGTACGTATCATACTAACAAGAAGTATCAATAGGGCATGTTGGAACGTGCCAAGGATTTGGAAAAGCCAAAAGGAATGTATCTCTTGTTGGATGGTAGCGTACCAGCAGGATCAGGTCTTTCATCATCTGCTGCCTTTGTGTGTTCAGCTGCTCTTGCCACGATTGAAGCCAACAAGTTGCCATTGAGCAAACAAGAGTTGACCGAGATTGCTATTGTGGCCGAACGCAATGTGGGCGTCAATTCGGGTGGTATGGATCAAGCAGCATCTGTGTTTTCTGAACAACAATACGCATTGCATGTGGAGTTTGTGCCACGCCTTTCAACTCAGCTTGTCAAGTTGCCAGAGACGCAACCTCCCATGGCTTTTGTCATTGCCAACACCCTCGTCACCGCTGACAAGTTTGTCACCGCTCCTCGCAATTACAACCTACGCGTGGTCGAAACAAGAATGGCTGCTCTTTTCCTTAGCCGCGCTCTTGGATTGGATCAACAAGTCGATTCGCTCAAGGAAGTCTATGACCTTTACTTTAAGGATGACAACAACAGCTCGGATGTGGAAAAGTATGACAAGTTGTTGGATGCTGCTATTCAAGCCTTCCCACAAGATGAGAGCAATGGTCAAGGCTATACTTTGGAGGAAGTGGCTGAAATGGTCAATTTGCCAGCACAAACATTGAATGAACGCTACATGACCCGTTTCCCTGTTGAGACCGATTACTTCCGCCTTGTTCAACGTACTCGCCATGTCTTGAGCGAAGAACGCCGTGTGGTCCAATTTGCTGCTGTGTGTAAGCACGCTGATGCTAATACCTTGCAAGAACTTGGCGCTATCATGAATGCATCCCAAGAGTCATGTGACAAGTATTTCAACTGCTCATGCCCTGAAATCAACACCGTATGTGATATTGCTCGCAACAATGGCGCATATGGTGCTCGTCTCACGGGTGCTGGTTGGGGTGGATGTACCGTTATGCTCACCACTGAATCTAATGTGCCAAAACTTATCAAGGCTATCAAGGATCAATACTACGCCATCAAATTCCCCAACTTGACCCAAGAAGAGCTCGATGATGCCGTCCTTGCTACTCAACCTGGTAGCGGCTCTGCTGTTTACGTTGGCTTCTAATTACCTTATATCAACCTATTTCACACGCGTTATTCTCTCCTCCATATCATGCACACACGACATCCTCCTCCTCCTTCTTTTTCATATGTTTTGTATATAGACAAACTTTTTAGCTTGCTTGAAGCATGCAATAAAACAATCCTACATGATACTTATGTATGCCGTCGTATAGTTGTCTAAGAACGACAAGGGTATTCTTCATTCATCAGATGTAAAATCGGGTCTTTGATGATTTGTAGCCTTTAGGCAGAAGATGCCTAAGTATATAGGTTCTTTTGAGATAGCCAACAACATATTCTGGTGGATACTCCTTGTCAGGTCTTTGTCCTATAAACGGATTGGCCATTAGCAACTTGGCAACTCACCCATGACAGCAAAAGCACCTACTTTGAAACATCTTCATGCTTTCAAAGATGCTTACATTCCAATTATTGAGTTCCATCACCACAAGACCGCTGTATACATCTGCCATATCCTTTGCCTCGGCTAGTTGAAATGTTTTGGCCTTTTCGGTTATCGAAAAATAAGACAATCCTTGGTAGTAATCTTCTGACAATTCTATGAGCAGACCTTCAAGCTTTTGGATAAAAGTTTCCCATACGCGTTGTGGATCCTGCATCCTGGGGATATCCAGTGAGAGCAAACCAAGGACACCATAAACATAATCCTCTGGCATATAGCATTTCCGTGAGCTATTGGCAAATACCGACAACGCTGCACGTAAGCAGACAGCTTTCAAAGGATGATCGGGAACAAGTAGGCACTTGAGATAATATTGAGCAGGCGTCCGGTCATCGGAAAAAATGCCAACCTTGTAGCGATATTGATCACTACCAGCTGTTTCTTTATTAAACAGCAGATGAGCTCCTGATGTGCCAATCACCTGGTCTATTGTCTCTGGTTCGAGGGATGATGTAGTACTTGATGATACTAGTAAATCGAATGAGCCCATGTTGTAAGCCTCCTCCTTCTTGGGTGAGTGTTCTTTACATACATACCATAAAAGATCTTTTGCGATACACGATCCACCACGTTGTAGTCAAAGTAAATCACATTATTGTCAGGGCCACATTGCTCGGATACGAGGTGAACGTTTTCCGTTGGCAAGGCAACCTCTTGAAGTGTCCACAAGCGGCGAAACCACCCGCTATCGAGAAGTTGTTGCATGCAATTAAATTCGGCTTGGAACCTGTTGATGACATTGTGAAGTCTAATAAGATTATGATGAGATTTGGAAGCTTTCCATTGCGTTTGACGAGCCGTATCGAAACGTTCATCAGTGCGGTAGCCGTTTCGTTGACTGGCATCGAGATAGAGCGGTGTAAGTGAATGATCGAAGTCCGTTAACCGTGATTTTTTCAAGTCGGCTATAAGATCAGAGGGGCAATCCACCATGACATGACATGTACCACAAAATCGGTAAATGCTACCCATAATTACCAACGGAGTGTCAACACGAGCACACATGACGTCAATCCACCAATACCCTGGATTGGCTTTGAGTAGAGCCAAGAGCGTGTTTCTCTTTTCAGGGCGCATTGGCACAGGCTTGGATGGCTGGCCATCTACGTCCATAATAAAGGTGGATACATCCCACTTTGGATAGTCGTTGATGTTACCCCACACATGCGATAATACGTGGTAGCCTTTTTGTATAATAGCATCATGATGGATTGGGTTGTCAGCAGGTCGAACAAGACGCATGTCATTGCCGTTGTCTTGGACATGCAAAACGACAAAATTGGGGTTGTCGCATAGCGCCTTTCTTCCTTTGAACAGCCGTTCGTGCTTGTTCCCGCTTATTATATTTCCCTTTGATCGTTCCTATATTATTATATGGTATGGTGTTATTCAAAAGAATATGTACATCATTGGCGTAGCAGATTACCCTTACCTTAAAGCAATAGCCATCAAAATTCTTGTGGATGATCCATCTGAAACCGCGTTGGAGGAGGTTTAGTAAACTATGTTCCATTCAAAAGGAAGAGAAAGCACTAATAATCATTATTTCGGACAACTCGCTTGTTTTATATGCGGAACATGTTACATCCGTCCGCTCCCTCCTCTTTCCTTTTTACCCAAGGTGACACCGATTGTTACACGCGGGCGAAAGCAATATCTACCGTAATTGCACAAGGACTTGTCGCTTGTCATCGTCTCATTGTAGACGCATACAACAGGTTGAAGAGCACACTATGTACACATCTTTGATGGGTTATATAGAAGTTACCATGGCATGGATTCCCAAATTAAGAAACGAGACGGCCTATCTCGCTCTTTGTGGGTGGACCCTTGTGGCGCAACATCAACCTCAAGGCCATAGAAAGCACGTGATATCCATACTTTGGTCAACGATGCAAGCAATAAGATCATGTTGGCCATGCCAGGTCAACTTTGAAGTGGTATGTGTTTATGTTTTTGGGTATAATCGAGCATTGAAAACAGCAACAAACCAACCAGGAATGTTATCAGAGCCATCGTCAAATCAACAGCATGTATGTCTCGTTGCGTTTTATAGGATTAGATGATGACAATGGATGATGCTTAGCATTGTTGGTACCTGAGACGGCGTATTTGACAACATGGTAACGCACTTGGCTTGAGGCGCAAGTTGTCTATTGGCATCATTAACGGTTTGATGTTCCATCTTTGTAAGGCATAGCCAAAAGTAAAGGAGACACCCACCATCATCAAGGGTGTTCTCGGGGTGGTGGCTAACAACAACGATTTTCGGGTAAAGCGCTTTTAATTTTTCTTCCAGCATCTCTTAATAGCTAAACTACAGCTTTGTATACTCGAAATCCTGATTCATCGTTCCTTGTCTTATCACTCTTTCTCGTGTTAGGGCACGTGATTTGTCTCATTCATGTTGTGCAGGTAATCTTTTATCCGGTAATCCTTACATGATCACTTTGATGGTGGTATATGCGTAGGAAAAGGGGGGGGGAATGGGGGTCGTTGAGTTGTAATTGACAAGAGGATGATGGTTGACCTCGATTGTTTATACAAAGGGGAAAAAGTGTGTCCCATCATCGTCCCTTGAAGATGAGGGGCGTGATCAAAAGAAGGGAGAATACGAAAACGATTTGGTCATGGTTCAATATCAGGAGAAGTAGAGTATAGAAAGCTTGGGGGCCCGAGTTGGTCATGCATATGTATGTATCTTTTGTTTGTGTGTGTGTATACAGGTTTTGGATCGAATGGAACGTGGATCGCACTGGCAACGTGTAAACCGATATGCATGCCATTGTTTCTTTCTCAGAGCAGCGCAAATCATAACCAAGATGAGATGATTGTGATTTGGTCGATAAACCTTAAAACGACTTGCTCGATGATGCACCACGCTATCATTACCACCAACACCACCATCATCATGCGTCGTGTTCCTCCTTGATAACAATGAGGCTTTTCGATGAGGGGGTTTTCGATCCACAATCGATCACAAAACAGAGGGATAAGAAAATCGAATGTGGTGGGTCCATGTCAGGCGATCCAAGTTGTAATTATTTGTTGCAAAATCGACAAAAGTAACCCAATCTTCCCAAATTGGGAAAGGCAGATGTTCAGGAACACACATATACACGCTATGCATGTGGCATGTAAAAGTTGAGCTGTTCTTTAATAAGATTGATATTGTATACAAACCAAAAACATGGTGATGAACAAGGTAGAATGGGATGGGATGCAAAAAAGCAAAAGGATAAAGATATATATATATAAAGGATACGTATACGAGATAAGCTATGGATACACAAGAAGAAGAGAGTGGGATGATGGAAATGCTGATGGGGTGGGGTGGATGTTCATGTATGTGAATGCGTGTGTTTACAGGGTGGCACGTTTGTTCTTTGCAGCAGCAGTGCTTGAGGAGGAGCTGTGCACTGAAAAGGTACGCTTGATTGTGCGAGAGAGTCTTTTTCGCTGTGCAGTGACCTTTGCTTGGATTTGAGCTGACTTGCTTGGCTTGGGCATGGGTGGCATGGTGAGAGGTGGTGGTGCGGGAATGCTTTCATCCAAGGATGATCCATGCTCCTCAATGGTGTTGCTCTTGTGTGAACGTGTACGAGAAAGGATACTTGCCACCTTACCAGAAAGGCTCTTTCTCTCCTCAGCGATAGATGACAAGGGGCTGCTTGATGTAGAGATCTTGCTATCGCGTTTGCTGCTATATCTTGAATCCACAGGGGAGGGTGGAAGCTGTTGTTGTTCCTTGATGTAATCTTCATTCTTGATAGGCATGTAGCTACGTACCGCCACGGGCTCCTCCACAACAGCAGCAGGGGCCTTGTTGTCTTTTTCTTCCTCCACCTCGGTAATTTCATCATCCTGGGTCGCCATGGCAACGGGCTCAATGGTATCATTGATAGATGTAGTAGCTGTGTGATGATGATGGTGATGATCGGCATCGGTGGTATTCATTGTCTCTTCATTGACACTTGATTCAACATCGCTATGCATATGTTCATCATGGCTGACAGGGGAAGCACCAGCTATATTAGATGCATAAGGAGATGGGATAATAAGTATCGGTGCTGTGCATCAAGAATGTACATATCCCAATTTGTTTACCTGACGATGCTTCTTCATCAAAGGATTCGGGTTCTTCATGGATCATGACAGGTGCTGATGGTGACAGCGAAGTTGTTGACAACTTGGCTGCCGCATGTGAGGGGGTAGTGATGACCTTTTGAGGTTCTTCAATGATCACATCCATGGGCTTAGCCCAGACGTGCTCGAGCTGCATGACAGAGTAAACGCGCAACATGGTAATAGAAAAGGGGATGTCAAGAGAGATAAAGTGACAATGGTATGCAAAAGAAAGGAAAAGAAAAAAGATGGATGTGGATGACCAGCATTAAATAGATCCAAGTCAAAGAGAAGGTTGTCACCTGGCCTCGTACATATCAACTAACATTTTCGTTTCCAGCTCACTGTGTGTGTGTAAGTTGTGTGCTCTATGTATTATCCCCCCAAATTTTGATTTCTTTCTCCTCCTCTCTCTTTGTCGCCACTACTCCCAAAAAGCAACGTCGATCTTTTGCTCTCTCTTTCTTTAACCCTTGAGCACTGGTATCCCTTGCTTACCCCGAAAGCAGGCATTACAAGTGGGGATTCCAACTAGCTGTTCCAAAAGGGGGTGATGGGAAAGGGAGAGAGGATTGCTGTGAGCTTTATATTCGGTTCTTGTCTCGGGAAACAAAACAAATAATCATTAAATGATAAAACCAGCATGTATGAAAAATGGCGTTATTATCCAGGTATGCGGACCAACAAAACACGACATCCAGCTGCATTGTGGGACGAGTACAAAGGGCGGAGTGGCAACCCCAGCGTAGCACATTTACACACACACAGCTTGCGGACATGATGCAATCCGCCTCATTATTGTGGTCCGCTCTCTTTGCAAGAGGATCTACTCTCCTTATGCAAAAGAGCAAGCCCCATCTGACATTGAAAACAAAAAGGTCGTCTGATGACCTTTGTTAATACAACATCACACACACACACACGATAATTATTATGGTCATTGTTACATACCCTACAAAAGATCACCACTTGTCATCTACCTGAATCCTCCTGATTTACATTGCTTTTCTCTCCTTGTTCAAGGCGATTTTATAATTTTGATATCACGATGGATCAGATGATGTATATGCTATCGCACAAAACAAATGAACAAGAGGTAGACAGGGCGTTGTGGGTAGTACAAGCTCGACATTTGAGTTATGCACAACATACCAGCAACCTCGTGGCGACACCTTAAGGTCCACTGATGACTCAAGTTTAAAAAGAGTCCGACAATTGTTGTTGTTGCTGTAGGGTGCGTGGTGGATTGTGCCTCGAACTCTAAAAGCATCTTCCTCATCTTTCGTTTGGTTTCCATCCATCTCCCCCAAAACAAAGAATAGGGCGGAGCACCAGGTAGATAAGTAGATACTACGACGACAATAGGAAAAAGACCCTGATCTGTCACTTATGATGTTTGTTGACATGACTCACGGGATCGGATCCCTTGTATGTTATACTCAGCGATCCCCGGCATCGTTGTCGGATACCTCGTCCCCGATGTTATATGAACGACAATGTACGTATTATGGTACGATGCAATTCATTTTATGATTCCGCGGTAGGGTGGTAGTAATGCTACGTGGGTAGATGTGATGATAACGCCTTCTCTCCTCCTCTCCACCTGCTGCTGCGGTACTACATACTTTGGCATTCTTCTTGTTGGCTCTTTTTGTCTTTTGCCAAAACATTGGTTGTGTTACCTTCAGTCGTCAGAGATGTATGCATGATGACGACGACGCGTTTACATAGGTTGACACACAAAAAGTGTGGTGCGTGCATGTCATGAATGATTGTTGTTGTTGTATCATTTCACACCGATGCATAGGTGCATTGACAGAAGAAGGGCGACACAAATTAATGTACCTCACGCATGCATGGTGCATGGCTCCAAAGAAATGGAACACACACCCACAGCTGTGTTTGTCCTTCTTGATCCCATTTTTGTCAACATGCAATCTACAATCACAGAAGGGTACACAAACTTTCATGGAAACGACAACGTGATCCATCCAACGTCGTTAAGGTTTTGGTCATCATCTATTCTACGAACCAACATCGTATCAAGATGTGGGCGGTGTTGATGTTTTATTTTCCCACCATCATCAAGGTACATACCAAGAAGATGGCTGTTTTCAAAAACAAAAGGAATGAATACAAAGCGAATGGATGTTTCAAATGCAGGCTTCTGAAAAGACAAATGTCATCATGCACATCATTATACCGAATGTAGAGTATCATACTAACGACAGAAATGGAAGATAACGGTAGCATGGCAACCATTAATTGATGATGATGATGGATGAAGTAGAAAGAGGAGAAGTAATGAACGAAGAATAAAAGAGAAAGGAGATGTTCTCCCATTTTGTATTAGAAATGGTTGACAGATCAGGTGTGTGTGTGTGTTGAAAGGCACATGGCAAGGAGGAGGCGAGGAAGAGGAGGAGGACAACACACACATCACGAGGTGTATGTGAGCAGCAGGTGTGTTGCTGAACATGAATTTATACTCCAAGTGTTGACGTTGCACCAACTTCTTTATCATACACACACCACCACACACCACACACACACACTCGTATCTTATCCTTTCAGGCCATGCCACCTGTGGAAGCAAACAGAGAATATTATGCCTAGGCTCTCTATCGATAACTTGCAGCAGCCGACAAAGCCCATTCTGGTTACTGCATGCATCGCTCTGTTGTTGGCATGTTGGCCGCGTGCTCTTCATTACTTGTTCTCCACCATTCAACTTGTTCTCACCACCATTCTCTCATTGGTCGTCTTCAACATATTTATTCTCTTTGTCTATGTCAAATACTTCTTACCGCCATCGAAGCAACCACACCATGACTTTTTGCCATTACGATTCACGACGTCTACGGCATGGGCAGCTCATCAACAGCAACGATCGCGTGAACAGCAACCATGCTCTATCTCGGTAGCACCTGAATGGCCTCAAGTATCCGATGCATTCGATGAACTGATCTCGTACATTTTGCGTGATTTTATCGACTATTGGTTTGCCTATGTGGCAGGTCCTCATGAACAATCCTTCAAGTTGGCTATTGATCGGGTCATACGCGAAGCGGTGCTTGCATTAAAGCAACGAATGATGGATGCTGATCTATTCAGCATCCTTGTGAATCGACTTGTTCCTATCATGACCCAACACATTGCCGAGTTTCGTGCTGCAGAGATATCGTTGCGTGGCAAGTCTTTGGAACGATCCGTCACTCAATCAGATGAATTGGATTTGCTATTGGCGTCCCAATTTCGTGGTGGGAGGTTGCATCCTGCATTGACAACAGCTGCAGTAACAACAACTCGGCCTACAGAAGTGGACCATTTGCGTCAAATGATTCAAAAGATACTCCCACTGGTTATCAATCACAAGGATCTTGCAAGTGATCATGGCCCAGTCACCGTCATTGTCCGTGAGCTTGTATCATGTGCCATCCTGCAACCCGTTTTGGATATGGTCGCTGATCCCGATTACTGGAACCAAACTATCGACAGCTATGTATGTGGTTTTTATACATCATCGTGATCATATATACTCATTCTTCTTTTTATCCATATAGCTTGGAAAAGCCATTCGAGAACAGTGAGTCAATGAGAGAGAATGAGCATGGATATGAACAAGGTGGCTAATAATAATGATTTGGGATTCAATAGGAAAATGGTACGCAAGCTTCGTGAAGTATTGATACGCCATTCGAACGAATTGGATGAGATGGATGATGCCGAATTGCCCACTGCACCACGATCAGCACCCACATCTGGAAGAAAAGCCAATAGTCGACATACATTGATGACGATGGGTTCACTTTCATCTGTACTCAGTGGTCATGGTGGTGATGATGATACTCAGCGTCAACGTGAATTTGGGGGTGGAATCAAAATGGGACGCCGCACCTTTCAAGAATTCTTGAGGATGATTGAGGAGGAAAAGAATCTATTGGAGCTGAAGCGTGTAAGGAATGATATCGTTACTCAATTACGAAAGAAGCGGGCACAAATTTGTAAGTATCATGCTATGGATGCATTGAGGGTATACTAACGAGTCGTCATTACTGCTTTAGATGATCGAGATCCTGAGGAGGTCATTGATGGCGAGAAGGTTGAGGATATCATTGTGTACCTGAATCGATTAAGCGTTGCCAAAAAGCGTGTGGATAAGCGGATTGGTGTTCTTACGGGTGAACATGTGGCAACGGATTATCATTGGCATATGAGCGGCACTGCGGGAGGGATTTCTCCATTCTTTGGCAGCAGCAGATCACGTGCAAAACACAACCATGGAGAGGCACATTTATCACAACAACCTCTTGGATACAGTTTACATGACATTCTCACCAACACATCAGGCCTTTCCTATTTCATGGAATTCATGGATCGTCGTGGTGATATGATGAAGCTACAATTCTGGTTGCTTGTCGAAGGTTTTAAGAATTCCGAGTTGATGGTGGTGGAGCAAGATAGTACAACCGAACGTGTGGATACGACTTTCTTTCAAGATGTCAACATGGTATACAGCATGTATTTGGAAGACAATGCACCGCATGCGTTGGGATTGCCAAAGGAACCCATTGGAGCACTCTACCAGCAAATCCAGCTTGCACATGTATGCATCAAGGATCATGACTCGGACAACCTTCACAATATCATCCAAGATGTGCGACAGCAGCTTTATCAGATTCAGCAACAAGTCTTTGATCAATTGGAAAAGGAACATTTTCCTTACTTTAAGCGATCCGATCTCTATTTCAAGTACTTGGCAACCACACCCAATTCGGGTCCTGATACAGCCCCTGAGCGACGTAGTCTTGATGATTTATACCAACGACCCAGCATTTCTCAAAAAAGAGGCCATGTGCATCAAGTGATTAGTGCAAGCAGCAGCTCTAGTAGTGCAAAGAGTAGCAACAACAACAATGGCAGCAACAGCAAGAGCACGCTCAAACCTCGGCCTTTAGGACGTACAGCATCAGCTAGTATGACAAGGAAGAAACCTTGGGATGTCAATGCCGTGGGTGCTACTTCTTCTCCAAAAGCCGATTCAGATACCGAAGTGAGTGAATCCACAAGCAAACGAAAGGCTGTAGTGAGCACTAGTACCAGCACACCTCATATCAAGAGCAGCACTCATGTTCGCCCTTCAAGTCACGTGCGTAGTCCATCTGAGACAGCAGCAGCCCATGGCAACCTTGCACGCTTCCTGAATCTCAGCAAAATGATGGGGAGTGCCAATGAATGGTGGCAGGCAACAAGCGATTGGCAACTTTTGAAACCAAAGGATACCGATAGCACCAGTAAACGTGATTCGATCAGATCATTTGAAACGGATGAATTGGATGAAGATGACGATGACGACGACGACGATGATATCACCGACAATGAACAACCCCCTAAACGACAGCCATTATTACGTAGCAACACCGTGGAAGCTGTGGAAGCTGAATTACAATCGATTATGGATTGGGAGGATGGAGCTACAGCAGCAGCAGCACCTGTAGAGGATCACAAGAATACATTATCAGTGCAACAACAAGAACCGCAAAAAGTATTGAGTGCTCCACCTTCGCCATCCATGAGCAAACATGCACTTCTCGGTACACAAGGGGCGAAATCCACTACAGCTTTACCTGTACAAAGTGATTCTATGATTGAATCGAGGCGTGGATCTGCCGTTGTTCAACCAGTGGAGCACGATGCTTTAAAGGAGGAGGATGAACCATCATCATTGTCATCACCTGGCAACAACAAGCGACGAGAACCAGTATCAGAGCAACAGGAGCACCAGCAGAGCAAAAGCAATGTACATTTGGCACCACCAGGGGATTTGATGCTTGCTGCCAAAGTTGAAAAGTTGTCGGAGGAAATGGATCGATTGAGACAACAAGAAGCTATTGTGGATGAATTGATTCGAAAGGCTGAGCGCGAGGAGAATAGTAGCAGCAAAACGGATCATATCGACACTCTTTTACGTATCTTGAAGAAGAGCAAAAACATGTTTCGGCGTGAAATGCAGCAACTCAAGTACCAAAAGAGCCAATATGAATTACAAGAATCCGAAAATGTGTTGATGCCTGTAAGTTTGACATTGCCCACATCGACAATCCAATAACCTGAATTGTTGATAGGAACGATCCAAAGTCAGTATTACCAGCTCAACGATTGGATCGGATCAATATGGAGAATTTGCATTGTACGTGATTGAAATCCAACAACTTGGATACGATGGCAATTACGGCTCTGGATGGATTGTTGCACGACGTTACAGCGAGTTTTTTACGTTGCATCAAAAGCTAAAAGAACGCTATTCAGCTGTGAAATTATTGGATTTTCCATCAAAATGGCCGTTGCTACGACTACAAAAATCATTTGTGGAAGCACGCCGCACCAACTTGGAGCGCTATTTACGTCGATTGCTGGAACATAAGGAGATTTGTCAAAGTCAGGAATTGCGTGCCTTTTTATCACAGCAAAATGTCTTTGTGCCTGGACCCAATCATCGAGACGATGATGATGGTGATGATGATGGGCCATCCTCTGAAATGGGGTTCTTTACGTCTATGCCAAAGCTTTCAGATCGCAACAAGAGTACAACAAGTGCAAGCAGTAGCACGATCATCAGCAATATCGAACATTTACAACGTTCTTCCAGCTCATCTACAACCGCATCCAACAAAAGTTTACAACCTGCAACAGCAGCAGCCCTTGTTGATAATACGACGCCATCATCACCACCATCACTACCTTCTTCCTCTTCACCTCATGCTCCACTCAACAACGACTTGCAACGCAAACAATCCACTGGGTTTATGAAGCACATTTACAAAACAGTGGCCGAAGGCATTGATGACCTAGTGGTTGCACCTTCCATGTTGGATTTGATTATACAGCGTATGGGTGATCAAGTCATGTATCTCTTCCAAGAAAACCATCCTGATATGGCAGCCTCTTCTTCATCCACGCAGCAACAACAGGGCGAACCTGATAAGGATGTGGCAGCAGCAGCAGCAGCCATGGTGGCAGATTTGGAGGATGAGCCTACAACAACAGCAGCAGGATCAGCTATTACTGCCCACTCATCATCTTCTGTGGCCTCTGAAGGGATTACCAAGTTTACAGAACCCTTGTGCGACTTGTTTATTGAAATGTTTGAGCTCAAGGAAAAGAACAATTGGTTACGACGTCAAGCTGTGGTGATTATCCTTCAACAGATTTTGGGTGGTACTATCGAAAGGTAAGAAAAAGGGTCGATCATGCAAACAAGGAGGGATGAGGATGAAACTCATCATTGATGATGATGCTACTAGGAAATTACGTGAGACCGTGCACTTTTTGGAGACGGAGCCCATGATTGTATTTTATCTCAAAAAGATCACCAGCAGCTTATGGCCTGATGGAAAAACGCTCACCTTTAAAGCACCTCGACGACCCGATGAGAAACAACACACCAAAGAAGAAGCGAATCGCAAATTATCTGCATGGTTACCAGGTAAGAGGAATGGCTTTAAAAGGGATAGAAGGGAAGTGGATTCATAATAATACAACATGTTGTAGATTTGATAGGGCAAATGGTGGGACGACAGAATGCGAGACGTGGAGCTAGGCGTTTATTCAGTGTGTTACAAAACAAACGACTCAACCAAGACCTTGTATATACCCTCTTTGATGAGATCATTGCTGCTCTTTTTCCAGAACTCGATGGTCCTCCTCTTTCATCCTCCTCCTCCTCTCCCTCATGTAAAAAATCTTACGACTAACTTTACGCATTATTCATTATCTTTATATCTACACATATATAGTCCCCCCGTATTGATAGTAATATGTAATCATTCTTCTTGTATACACTTTTCTTTTTGCGTTGTCATGCAGCTCTTTGCTTTATCGGGTCGTCGTGGGAATTACGTACGATGATGATGTAGTATCTTGTTGATGTTGTTGTTGAAATGGTGGTGGTGGATGATAAGGAGGTGGTGGTGTGTATGGACGATTGTATACAGGCGGTGGTGGTTCGATTATGGAAGAGAAGTTAGCAGTGGTAGTAGTAGTAGTAGTTGTGGTGGGTGGTGGTAATAAGGTCGCAGAGTGGTGAGCGGTTGTTGTGGTAGGAATATCGGTGTACCACTGCTCTTGATTACGTTGATCACGCATTTCTGGATCAAATGAAGGCAACTGTGGTTATTGTATGTATGTCTAATATCCCTTTTTTCTCTTAGCGCCTTTTATTTTAGTGCGCGCGCGCATCTGTCGTCAAGACGACAAATTATGACAGCGAACGAGCAATGTGACAATAAATACTGCCGTTGATAATAGAGAGAGAGAGAGAGAGAGAGAGAGAGAGAGAGAGAGAGAGAGAGAGAGAGAGAGAGAGAGAGAGAGAGAGAGAGAGAGAGAGAGAGAGAGAGAGAGAGAGAGAGAGAGAGAGAGAGAGAGAGAGAGAGAGAGAGAGAGAGAGAGAGAGAGAGAGAGAGAGAGAGAGAGAGAGAGAGAGAGAGAGAGAGAGAGAGAGAGAGAGAGAGAGAGAGAGAGAGAGAGAGAGAGAGAGAGAGAGAGAGAGAGAGAGAGAGAGAGAGAGAGAGAGAGAGAGAGAGAGAGAGAGAGAGAGAGAGAGAGAGAGAGAGAGAGAGAGAGAGAGAGAGAGAGAGAGAGAGAGAGAGAGAGAGAAAGAAAGAAAGAGAGAGAGAGAGAGAGAGAGAGAGAGAGAGAGAGAGAGAGAGAGAGAGAGAGAGAGAGAGAGAGAGAGAGAGAGAGAGAGAGAGAGAGAGAGAGAGAGAGAGAGAGAGAGAGAGAGAGAGAGAGAGAAAGAAAGAATATGGGTGGGTGGGTGGGGGGCTATGCATGATTAAGGACATTGTTATTGAACCACATGGCACCTGCTAGCTAAACACCCTCCATCCCAACACACTTCAGGGTGACACAAGAAATCCAAATTTGAAAATCCGCAATCCGCACTGGGCAAGAAAAGAAGTTGAACAATTGCCATCCATCGAGTCCCTCCTTTTTCGAGCACACAGTAGTCATGGTATGTAGATGGACATCATCACATGGATGCCATTATATCTTTATATATATGAATGGATGAACATGGATAACTAATGGATGGATCGATTTATAGCCATTCGTCAAGCAGCAGAAGAACAAGGCCTACTTCAAGCGCTACCAAGTCAAGTACCGTAGAAGAAGAGGTAATGCACACGCCCATTCGATTCCCCATTCGCCTCTATACAACACACACACACACACGAACACATTGCTTGAGCATATGCACCTGGTGGCTGGTGGTGGTCCTATTTGACGTGTGATGATTGCTAAAAGCATAGTTCATGTGAAAATGGCCTTACTATCCATTACTGTTGCCCAATTCTTTCGCTCCTATCTGACTTTGTGGGACACCCCAAGCCAATGCACGTGTTTCTTTTCCAGCTCTGCTTGTGCTGTGTTGTGTTGTTGTTGTTGATGCTTCTCTCTCTTTATCATGTGATCAGATCATTGACATGTATCTTTTTTTACAGAGGGCAAGACCGACTACTATGCTCGCAAGCGCTTGGTCGTTCAAGCCAAGAACAAGTACAACTCCCCCAAGTACAGAATGGTTGTTCGTTTCACCAACAAGGACATCGTCTGCCAAATCGTCTACGCCAAGATCCAAGGTGACTTTGTCCTCAGCGCTGCCTATGCTCATGAGCTTCCCCGCTATGGTATCAAGGGTGGTTTGACCAACTGGGCTGCTGGTAAGTTTTGATAAGGGGTGATGCGATCATGATGAGGATGATGATACTTATTGATCCATGTACAACACATTTAGCCTATGCCACTGGTCTCTTGTTGGCTCGCCGCACTTTGGCCAAGCTTGGTCTTGCTGACAAGTACGAAGGTTTCACTGAGCCCGATGGTACTGTCCAAGAAGTTGAGGCTCTTGAAGATGGTCCCCGTCCTTTCAAGGCCTTCCTTGACACTGGTCTTGCTCGCACTTCCACTGGTGCCCGTGTCTTTGGTGCCATGAAGGGTGCTTCTGATGGCGGTATCTTCATTCCCCACAGCGGTAACCGTTTCCCTGGTTACGACATTGAATCCAAGACCAACGATGATGAGTTGCTCCGTAACTACATCTATGGTGTCCATGTTGCTGAGTACATGGAATACCTTGAGGAGGAAGATGAAGAGCGTTACAAGAAGCAATTCGCTGGTTTCTTGAAGGCTGGTATCACCTCTGACAAGGTTGAGGATATGTATGCTGATGCTCATGAGGCTATCCGTGAGGATCCTTCCCCCAAGCCTGCCAAGAAGCGCACCTGCGAAAAGGCCTATCCCCGTCCCCGTCGCCTCAACCGCAAGCAACGTCTCAACAACGTTGCTACCAAGAAGGCTGCTTTCGAAAAGAAGATGGCTGCCGACGAGGAGTAAATTTCTTTTCATGTACATTAAAAGACGACAAATACAATTGTTTTCTTTTGGACAAAGGATTTATGGGTTTATTGTGTGTGTGTATATGTGTATTACTATCATCATGATGGGAAAACATGTATAGATGTGTGTACAACATGAGCTTATATATATAGTTTATATTGATGATTTCATCAAGGGCATTGACGTTTATCGTTTTATGTGTGTGTAAATGGAGGTGGGAGAACTTTGAGTGTAAAAAACCCACGCGGGAAATCCTCGTGTCCGTTTGTAATATATGTATGTGCATTGTTCCACGATCACCCTATCATCTCCCACACGCGAATTGCCATCCACCCTATCGGTTACCATGAATGGATGGGTTGAACCAAGACAACGCGTTCCACATAATACAACGTGCAAAATGAGATCGACCCTTAACATCATCCTCCTCCTCCTCCTACTTTTTTTTTCTTTACCTCCTTTTACAAGGGGGGAAAATAAAAAGAACGATGACGATGTCATTGTCCAAGAAAAGAATGAAAACACCGTGCGCATGCATGCACTAACTAATATGCACAAAGAGTGCTTTGGGCGCGCTGCTTATGTGGCACATGGCCGCTCTACCTTTTCATCCCTACTTTTAGGCACCCAATTAAAGCGGCATGTCAAATGACATGCTATTCTACATCATGATGGCCAGCCAAATCACACAACATGGTATGTAGTAGTAGCAAGTATGATTCACATGAAAAGGGAGAAAAAGGAGAAAAGGATGATGATATTTATTTCATGTTGTGCAAAGAACAAGGTATCCAAACGAGTGGTGGTGGATGAAAATGGGAGAAATAAAAGTGTGTAATGGAAACGGCCTGGAATGACACCTTATTTCCACGCAGAGAGAGTGTGCAACCACGACCTGGATCGTCCCTTGCTAATTTCTTTCCCCGAGCATATATCAAGTCCGCAGTTACACCTGTCGAATGAGAGGCATCTCGCGTGTTCCTGTAACAGTAAGAGCATGATGTATGATGTAGGTAGAAAAATAACGGCATTACGCATACACACGATCTAGAAAAGTCGGTTTTAAAATAACTCAAGTCTCTTTGTCATCATACAGCATGAAAGGTTCGCTATAATCACCCACGTCCACAATAGCATATATATCTTCTCGGAGAATGAGATGCATTTATTATATACTCACTAAGCGATGACAACAGTTTGTGGATCCACCATCACAAAAAGCAAAAACTGAACATTGGGGTTGCACAGAATATAATTAAAATCGATCTCTTTACCTTGGTACTCTCATTTACTTTCTCTCTTTCTCTTTCTCTCTCTCTCTCTTTCTCTCCTCCCTCACCCACGTTTTGCACCCACGCTCACCTACACACCCACCCACACACACACCTATATTTGCTTTCATCAGCAATCATCAGCCTTTTGGTGCACACACACTTTTTTGGTTCTTCTTCTCTCCTTTCTTTCACCCATAAGCAAACACGGCCATGGCCACACTTGCCATGAAGCGAAGAACGCCTTCGCTCGGTACACTGCCTACGATGCCTAATATATCTGTTGTTGATGCTCCGATGCCGACTACATCTTCTACTTCACCATCCATCATTAATAATACCAACAACAAACCTGCTGTGCAGGGTGGCTCTCTTTATCACACATGTCGCTCGGTGCTCGACAAGCTTGCTGCCGTTGACGGTATGCAAGACTATCTCAACGAAGCTGATCAGGCATCATCCATACCCACGCCCGCATCGTCAATGCCGTCTTCCTCATCCGAGCCATCAACACCCACCAGCACCAACAATGACCCTCTCACAAAATTATGGACGCTGTGTCGACGTGGCTCTCCATTGTGTACTTTGTTCAATGCGTTGAATACTGAAAAGCCGCTCAAAGTGGATCGCAACCCAACACTCAACCAAGTCAACACGTGCAAAGCAAGCGTCTATCATTTCATTGTTGCTTGCAAAGACCAGCTTGAATTCACCGAAGATCAGCTATTTACAATCACCGATTTATATCAAGATGACACGAATGGTTTCGTCAAGGTAGGAGGATTAAAACCCTCTTTTTGATTTCTTTGTTTGATTGATTAATTGAATGGGTGGTGGGTGTCATTAGGTTGTCAATACTGTCAACAAGATTCTCTTTTTATTGGAACGTGATGGATTGATCACTGTACGTTCATCCAACCGCAACTCGGATCCCAACGCTCCCAAGGATACCCGTGACAAGGTGGTGCTTGAATTACTTGAGACTGAACGCAAATACGTACAAGATTTGGAGACGCTTCAGGTAAAGGGAGGAGATGATGATGATGATGACATTGACAAGGGAATGAATGAATAAGCTGATATGCGACATGACGTAGAACTACATGCGTGAAATGCAAGCACAAAAGATCTTATCACCTGATACCGTTCATTATCTTTTTGGCAACTTGAATACGTTGGTTGATTTCCAACGGCGGTTCTTGATTCAAATCGAAAACACGGCCGAGAATGCACCTGAGGAGCAACGCTTTTGTCAACTCTTTTCACAAATGGAGGAAGCCTTTGCAGTGTACGAGCCTTATTGCGCCAATTATTATTCAGCACAAGATTTGGTTGTTCAGGAAACACCCAAGCTTGAGAAATTGTCTCATATTCTCAATCCAACTTACGAGTTGCCATCGATGCTCATCAAGCCTGTGCAACGTATTTGCAAGTATCCACTGCTTTTGGGACAACTCATCAAGACAACAAATAAGGATTGGCCACACTATGATGAAATGGAACAAGGTCTGGAAGCTATCAAGCGTGTTACTGAAAAGGTCAATGAGACACAACGCAAGCATGAGAACTTGCAAGCTGTTGAGGATCTACGACGACGTGTGGATGAATCTGAGGTATGTATGCATAGGGCATGTGTGCGTGCGTGTGTGTGTGTGTGTGTTACAAAAGAAGCAAATGGGTAATGATCAGCAAAATGCACGGGGTTGGCTGACAATATTTCTTGTGTAGCGTGACAGGGTGGAAGGTGACGGACACATTTTGTTGCATGGCAACTTGACAATGTCTCGCGGCGACAGCGACCGAGAATTGCTTATTTTCTTGTTTGAAAAAGCCATGATCATTTGCAAGGAGACCAAGGATGCCTCCAAGAACAGACTCACCAAGAGCAACACCTTGATCAAAAAGAAACGCCGTGCCAGTTTACAAGTCAAAGGAAAGATCAACACGAATCGCATCTTTAATGTGGCCAACAAGTCACAACCAGGTATGTTGTTGTTGTTATTATTGCAAATCATCCAAGGTAACTAAAATCGGTATGCATGAACAAAAAGGAAATTGGATGCTTGCGGTCGAATACAAGGACAAGGAAGTCGAACGATTTATTCTCAAGTTCAGAAATGAAGAACAGCTCAGATTATGGGAATCCACCCTTGAAAAGGTCAAAGAAGCTCACAAGACGCATGTTCCCAATACGCATTTGCTATCCATGGGTGCTGCACCAATGACACCTGTTCCTTCGGGTGATGGATCTACGGCTGGTAGCAATGGTGGATTGTATCTGCTGGATGACGATGATACGGATGACGATGATGATGATGCCGATGAAGAGCCTGATTTTTATGCCGCACGTTCCAGAAGCAATTCGGTGTCTGCCAATCAAGCTTTACGACCCAAAATGATGCGCAACAATAGTCAAGACGCATCTATGTTTATGGCAACGCGTCATCAACAACAACCACCACCACCTATGCCAGGCATGAACTTGTCACCTTTACCACGTGCTGCTGGTGGTCATCATCATCATCATCCAACAACACCACCTTTAGAGTATAGTGGATATCCTGTATCACCACCACCTTCAAGCCCATCATCACCTGGTACACCTTCTCGTACATCGACATCGACATCCTCTTGGCATCATCGTCGTAACGAAGATGGCAGCTCCCCTCTCACTGATATTGCAAGCAAATTCATGTCTGCTACGGATGCTATCGCACCTTCGTCTGAAGATATTGTACCTCCTATGCGTATGAGTGGTGCTTCTCCTTCACGTAGTCAATCACATACCACCATGCCAGCGCATGCCATGTATCAACAACAACCTCCCATGCCATCCGCTTCATTTTCGACGGCACGTAACAGTCCACATCATCAACGTGTACGATCTCAAAGCAGCCCCAATATCCACAAGCTGAATCATCCTTCTCAACAACAACAATGGGAAGATTTGCCACAAATGCCATCCATCAACTCGCGTACACTCTATAGCAGCAATAGCAGCAATGGTGGACGTACACATGCAACGGCTCCTGCAGCTACTACAACAGCTGCTTCTGTGGCACCACGTCTTTCAGAAACAGCAAGCTCATTGCAATCACAAATTGATCGTGTGGTATCGGCTGTTCCCAATTCACCAGGCACCGTCAAGATCAAACTCAGCTACAATGATGGCATTTATGTCATTGTGGTCAGTGAAAGCATCTCGTTTGCCGATCTTATGGAAAAAGTCGAAAAGAAGATCCGACTCGTGGCTCAAATTCGTCCAACCGATATTTTACGACTCAAATATCAAGATGAAGATGGCGATCTTATCACAATCAATTCGGATGATGATGTCCAGATGGCCTTTGAAAACCGTAACACAGCACTTAATCTCTTTGTCAGCATCTAGAAACAACAACAACAACAACCCACTCAATGGAGCGAGCGTAGATCTCTCATACACACACCAACCACTCACTATCATTTTCTTTCTTTTTTTTTCATCCTCATCTATCACCCAACCCACTCCATTCGCTTATCAACCACTTTATATTTTGCATATCTATGGCCAATACCCTCATTCTTCTTTTTTTGGGAAAGAAATGCAGAGCATACCCCCTCTCTCTTTCTAGCTATTACCTTTGTTGCACACACACACAATTACATCTCTTGCCCGCCCTTGTCCACTTTCTATGTCTGTGGGGATAATAGAGCTCTTGAACCACAACAATGCAGTATCCAAAAGCACGCGGCCTTCTTGTATCTGTAAATATATCTAGTTTAAAACAAACTTGCTCTTTTAATTCATTGGTGTTATTACTCGATGTCTGTTGCTGTAAAGGGAATGGTTCGATCATTGGGATGAATAGCATCTAAATCAATCAATCGCTTAATTGTATAAAGGAATGTGTACGTATTCAACAAAGCATCTATATTGTGTGCTCTATCTACTATTGTATAATGTATCTATCTATCTATCGTCTAATGTATATAATTACAATTGTGTCATCTTGATAACATTCTTGCCAACCAAATCCGGGTTTTCAATCTCTGCTTTGCCCTTGACCATTTGCAACTCACAGGTATAAACCAAAGCTGGATCGCTTGGACGGCCGTCAAGCTCTTCCACAGCACCATTGCTCACCATGGGGAGATGCTTCTTTTGATGTTCCCACGTACGTCGAGTGAGTGCATTCACGGTGGATACAACACGCTTCACGGCATCGGCCAAAGCAGTAGGGGATGATTTAGGTTGTTCTTGGTAGCGTGCAACCACAAGAGCTGAAAACATATCACCAGTGCCGGTAAAATAGCCACGATAAGTAGGAAAAGAAATCAAATGCTGAGTCGATCCAGCTTGGCTTGTGAAGCAATACAACGAGTTGTCAGTGGCACCAGGCAATAAAATGTCCTCCGGCACATCAACAATAGGCAATTTCAATGTCGTGATCACCACATTGGGCACACCAAATTCATGCAATTTTTGAGCGGCTTGACGAGCCGTGGCAAGTGAATCAATCTTGATATCGGTAAGCACTCTATTCATAGTGTTAAAATCACATTCAATAAGCTCAAGCTCTCCCTCTCTTGACTTACTCTGCCTCAAATTGGTTGGGTGTAGCAACGTCTGAAATCCGCATAATGTTACGATATAAAGGGACAATTTCTTGTGCAACATAAAGACGACCCCAATCTCCCATGACAGGATCACACACTAAAAACCCACATGAGTGCTCTCATTTTCCCTTCTTGGGCGACTCATTTACCATATACGAGATCGGGGTTGGTGGCCTTGAGTTTTTGTACGAAATGCTCAATGGTTTCAAGAATAGCATAGTTGCCAATGTAACCTAAACGACAAAGAGTCATTGACCTGCGCCTCATCATGCACAACAAAAAAGGGTTGTTACCAGTAAGGATATGGGTATAGGCATCCGTCAATCCATTTCGCTCCAAGCCATCAAATAGTTCTTGTACATCCTTCTCATTCAATCGACCACCCGTCCATGATGGATAACCTATACCCCTTCGTCAGCATCATCATCATCCCATCCTTTCCTCCATGCATCCTTGTTTTACCTGTATGATTCGAGAATTGCACTGTGTTGAGAATGTCGACATCAAAACCGAGGGTTTGCAAAGGAAAAACAGCCGCTTTATTGCCTGCAAGGAGATCGATCCATCAGTTGTTATCTTGACACCGAGTTCTTTTCTTTTCCATACCACAATAGCCCGAGACCTAAAAGTTAAATAAGTAAACTAGAAACGATCCCCAAAAACAGCCCAATTATGTCCTACCATGTGAGACTGAATGCTGAGCACACGGTACGATTCGTCTTCCATCTTTGAATGCATGGTGCGTGTATGAATGTGTGTGGGTTGAATGAGAGGAGGAATGGACGATGCGGGGAAGAAACGAGGTCGACTGAAAAGTGCGGTGCGGAGAGTAACAAGAGGTCTTCTCTTCTTGGGCTATGTGTTATTCAAACCACGATGGCGCAATGCTAGATGGAGCTGACATCAAATGATGGATCATCACTCTGCTTACAGTGCACGCATGGGCATACATGCTAATTAAGAATATCCTGACAATGACAAGTCTCTTTGTAATGGGTGCTTGATTTCATTGATAGGTATTATTGGCTGCCCTAATTTGGCTGATTTATGCACGCACTTTGGCTCTTCAGATTTAATCCTCCTGGCATACATGCACCCTATCACTTTATTGGCCTATGCACGAATGCATCATCTCAACAAACCTTTACCATTCATTGTGACCACAGAAATTCGCACGCCTAATATGCAAGTTGTCGCCATCCACCACTTTCATCCACACATCTTATCTCTTTGATTACTTACGTACAAGGTCAAATGTCCAAAGACATCTGCGTAAGATAGCGTTAGTTGAAAATTGGCATAGGTAAGCATGGCATGTTCATGTACTCATTCCACATTGTACTATCACAGCTCACTCTTTTTACAAGATAATGAAGTAATAAGCTTACAATGAGCATGATCATCACTCTCGAACTTACATAGCACCTTTGAAATACAAGCTTTCTAGAACCACACCTTACTATCTTTTGACTAATAGCTTTTGAACAAAGAAGCTTTGGCGAGTGTAGTAATAATGTTGCGACAAAAGAACAAAATCATTTCGATACGATGATGTATGTAAATGATCCAATCTTGCCTCTCGACCTTCGAACTTCTATTTCCCATTTCGATCCACCAACCGACCAAGTGATCCACATCTTGCGCATATAAGCTGATAGTACGATACCCTTCTAAATTTATGTTGAATCCAATTTTCATTCAATGAAACATTCGAAGAATAGTAGCACATGGTAGTGTGGGTGTTTATCAAGCAAGTACGATAAAGGAGCAGCATTACAAACGGGGAGCGAATCACATAGAGGTAACAGGGATAATTGTGTCATTGTATTCTTGGTTGTCGCCGTCGTAATCATCCTTCATCCATGATTGCAAAATAGCTGCTGCATGCATCGAATCGAGTGCTCCAATATCATCCATCCATGGCTGTACAGCACCTTCCGCCAAAGATACAAGCCCTCTCAATCCATCATCATCCTCAGCCATATCCACATGGTGACATGATCCATCGTTCCTGCTGACGACGCGCCAAGTAACCAAAGCAACATTCCAGGATTACCCATCCATCACCATAACCATTGCAAGTCCAACATGTTGGTTGAAAGAGCCAAGAGATCGCTGCTGGTGTGCTTCCTTCTCCATCCGGCTGCTGTTCAATCACATGCATGGTCAGCTCAACGAGGTGAAGATTGCTTGTATTGCGGTGTAGTACTTGATAGCTGACATGACACCATCGAAACTGGACATCACGTCGCACACTTCATTAAATGATAATGATTCTTAATCACCATCTCTCAATCGATATCCCCATCCATTCTCTTTCATACCTTAATAATGCGTGAATCACAATACAAAGTATCTTGTAGTAACATGCTGTTGGATAATGACGCGTGTAATGATGCATGAAAAGATGGTGAACGACCATCGCAGTATTCCTTGTACTGTCAGAGGCACCAGCATCCAAGATATTCAATCTACCATAAAGGCAATGTAAGATAGCAAGCACAGCATTTGCATTCCTTGTCAACATACCCAGAGCAAAGGTGTAAAGACCTGTTGGGACCTCTCGTTGTGTGACAACCATGGAACGAATACACACCACGCCCCCTTTTCGATTATAAACGAGAGAGCAGCAAACTACACGTAGACTTTAGTATCTCAACGTCCAACTTGAATAATAAAGAAATGCAGCGAATTGAACGTGCATGTCGTATTACAGTGGAAGGTTGAGCCATGGGCAGATCGCACGCGTATACTTGTTGTCATGGAGAAGTGTCGCCATTGACCACCTGTTCACCCAATTGACGCTGTACATTGAAAGGAGTGCCAGCTGTTATTGCGTTGCAGTTTGTAAGTGGAGACAAGCTTACCCTGCATTGTGAAGCGGGAGAGGGGAAGAAGGGGTTCTTTCGTGGCCACCCCGCTTGCTGTTGTTAATATGGCACCTCAACAAAAGCCTATACACTTGGGTCAATACCAACGACCATTATGCGAGATTCCCTTGTAATTAAGTTATACATCATATTACTATGGCGGGATTGGCGTCAATTAGGTCCGTGCACATCAATGCAACCGTTATAGGAGTCCTCTTACCAAACATAGAAGAACTATATGGATTCATTGTTATTTAATGGATAGCTTTTACATGGTAGGTTGCTGTTTACGTGTTTTCCCGAAGCCAATCATCATAGAGACGCATGTATGTAACCACCAAGTACAATAAACTCAGCTCATCCTCTTGCCTATGATGCTGTCGACACCATTAGCTAGAAGAAAGCAGCTCCATCACGCTTACAGGATGGGTGGTGCGGTTGTGTGGAGATTGAAAAAGAGGTGGAGGTGGAAGAAAAAAAGACCGCACTCCGAAGCCTTTGGGCGAATGAAATCATCGAATTCCACGTGATGAAAGCAGTGGTTTGCCCTAAATCTGAAGAGAATGACACCCATTCACTTTTTTTCTCGAAAAAACCTACATTTATATGATTGTAGTAAAATTTACGATCAAAATGATATAAAAAACGTTGGAATCGGGCGTAGCTTCATGTACAACGGTGGGGAAAAGTGTGAAAATGAAGAGACCCACAAGTTGACAATGGGGGTCCCTAAAACCATTATATAAGTAGATCGATTCCTAGGGTAAATAGGACCTCGGATCTCTCGCCCTGCAGTGCTGGGGGCACTCAGGGGGAGAGAACCATTAAAAAATCAAGCACCTGCTCGGGCCCCCAACCCGACCAGGTCCCTTGACGATGCGGAGATTGGTCCGCCCGCTAGAGGTGGGGATGGTGAGACAAACCTTCGCGCGGTCATCCCTGTGAGTACATGACGGAAGTCATCGAAACCAATTGTCGCAGCCTTTGGCTGAGCAATCTCTTTTGGCAAACCACGCCTCATCCTCTTTTACACACATTCATGCAAAGCCCACTTACACCGCCACACCACCAAGCCCATCTTCTACTTCGCCACCTTTGCCAAGCCCATCTCTTTGACCGCGCCCATGATATCATAGATAACCAACATATATAAATATCCCCTCATTCTGATACAATAAAACATTATCTTACGTCTGTACTTTATTCAGTGTACTAGTCTTTCTATCTCTGGCCATTGGTTTACCAGCTCAGATTTGGACCGACACAATTGTCTCTTCCTTTTTTGGATTTTTTCCTTGGTCAGTTACACATAATCGCGGGTTCGATTCCCACTCCCTGCACATTTTCCACACTCTTTTTCTTTACTTTTGCTTCACTTTCGTTACTTTTTTGATTCCCACACCCCATTTCTTTTTCTTTTCTTAGCATTTACAACCTTTACAACGCTTACTTCATATCTATTATCTATAAACAACAACTATCGTCGTAGTATAACTAGAAAAGTAATTGCAAAGAATGAGACAACCAGCAACAGAGTTTATTTGAAGCATTTTATGCTATTCTTTTCTTTCATCTTATTTTCATTGTATCGGGAGTGCCTTTAATTTCATGCATATCGTCAAGAGCAACCTCGTCTGCACACACCCAAGTATACGCACGTTACCTTTTATCTTTTCCACTCATCCTGATCCCAACCATGTCCTCATTGGCGGAAACGATCTTGCTAATGAGTGAGTTAGCTTCAACAACAGCATCAGCAACACACGAGGTTCATGACGTAAAAGCTGCTTGAGCCATACAAAAGTTCAATTGTGAGATAGTAAGAGGAAAGGCTCGAGCATGATGTGGACGACAATAACGGATGCTGGTGGTGGTGGTGGTTACGTTGTTTTCTTGTGATAGTGTCGATGATGAAGAGAATGGGGCGGGAAATGATGAATGAATTACAACGCGACGTCCATTGTAGAGTCTTTTTGATTTTCTTGCCGGAGGTGTTGAGTTGGTTGAAACAGTGCCATGGTGGTTCGTCGCATATGATTATCCATTCAAACAGCCGCTCTCGGTACGTTCCTCGCATTCCCAGCGCCTTTAAAAATGGGCTTCAACTGATCAATGGATCTCTCGGGACAAGATAGTTATTCCAGCCTCGGGCCTATTCGTGGAAGCCGCTGTATATCATCACCACCATGTGGGCTGTAGTGTACTATGCCACCTACTCCAACTTTGCATATGCATTTAAGGAGATAGCTACATCAAAATGGATATGAGTATATGGTTCATTCAGCATAGGATGAGGTAATAACAACTCAAATTACAATGACAATGAAAGGAGGGTAACAATGAAACGCTAAAGATCATCACGGATATCAGTATATGAAACGTCCATCGAATAAGCCCATCCATTAACATGATCCTCATATCAATTTGGCATTTGAATGTGCAAGGAAATAAAGGTGGATGTATTGGGAGTAATAGGAAGAGTGACAATGCTTTTCATCTGATGGTAGACGTGGGTATTTCGGTGATCACAAAGAGTTAAAAGATGCTTGTTGGGAATGATGATAAGCTGATAGATTAATGGGGTTCCTTCACAAAGAGCCTTGGTGCCATGCATAATACAAATCCGGGTGCATATGAGATGAACAAGATGTTCATCACCAAACAATGACAACCATCCGCTTTTCCACAACTCATTATCTTCGTAAATACAAGCGTTGAACCAACCGCTGGAAATTGCTGCTACCTATCGTCTATATAGCATATGAACGAGAGGAGGCTCAACCAATGCAATGCGAAGAAAGGGACAAAAGCCTCTTGACGATGATGCAAATGATCCAATCTCACTTTCCAACCTTCAAATTTCTATTC